GCCACGGGCTATACACAGCAACTTACAACGATCGGAAACCATCGAGTAAAGTGGTCCAATCGACCATCCCATACACAACACCCCCTACATTTTTGAGATGTGGTCGATGTCCAGCGCGACACACAACGTCCTGAAAGCTTATCCTGAGCGGCTTTTGAGTCGACTCAAAAGTATCCTGAGCTCTAATGGAAGCAGGCCTATCCCATCGGAAAGAACTGAACGGGTGCCTCTTTATAAGGTGACGTTCTGGTAGACGACAAGCCGAATATCGTTTGAAGTCGGCTCGCTGAACGGGTACTGTTCTTGGAGCGCGGATGTGGAAGGGTACCAAGCATCGCACATGCACTCTATGCGTGAACAAGCCGTGCTCTTGGCGTGAAGGGTCTTTTGGTATGCGAGGGTTTTTCCGCGCAATGGGTAACTAGTCCTATGCGCCGCACATGCCGTCTATCGTGCGGCGTGCGGGTTTCTCCTGCATGCTGCTGGTTGCGCACGCGGTCCAATAGCACTATTAACTATGATTCGATTTCGAGTATGGAACTTGAGGGTGCATCATGTTGTCAGTATCGATTTGTTTGTTATAATGCTGAACCACAGATTGAAGTCACATGTTCCCAGCTCTCATTCCTTTCAAACCGCAATCGTTACGTGAACTTGTCCATGCATCACGATATTACCGTAAAAACAAAATATTCACACATCTCACTCACTATACACAATATCTACACCACCAGCCACGCCAGAAAAGTGGCCTGTATCGAGCACGCTGTTAGAATTGCGCGGCTTCCAACGCGCTCAGTTAGACGTTGTTCGTCCTTACTTGCCGTTCGCCGCAGCCTGGCTCTGAGCATCCGACGCGAACGACCCTTTCTCGACGCCGCCGAAAGTCGTCGCCGTGAAGCTCTGCAGCGCCGCCGCGTTCTGCGAAGTCACCTTCGCCGGCGCGGCCGCCGCCCTCTGCGCCGCAGCCGCCGGTGAGCCCTTCCCCGCTGCGCCCTGGCGTGCAGCGAGGCTCTGGATTTGAACAGCAGACTGCTGGGAGAGTCCGCCGCTCTTCCCACCGCCACCGCCGCTCTTGCCGCCACCGCCGCCGCCCTTGCCTCCGCCTCCCCCGCCACGCCCCTTGCAGACCGGAGTGAGGCGATAGCTGGAGACCGGGGTCGGAATCCGAAGAATGGCCGCCATGGCAGATTCTCGAACGAAGCTGGTGAAGAAGGAACGGTTTCAGCTCACCCTAAACAAATGTTCGAGGAACTGATTAAAAAATGGCGGTCGGTGCCTTTTTCAATGCATACGAGAGCAGCAAAAACTGCTCGACAGGGATTGTGGTGGGGGGAGGGGGGAAAGAGTAAGGGGGAAGATGGGGGGAGGGGAACGAGGTCAAGGAGGGGGATGGGGCACGTGGGTACACAGGGATGGGAAGAGGCGAAGAGGAATACACGGGGTGAAAGGAAGGTGGGGAGCGGCGAGGCGAACCTGATGGCTGCAGGACGGATTTCCGCATCAACGCAGAAAGTCCTAGAAACGACTTCTCGTGACTTCGGTCGCCGTGGCAGTGTTGCTGGATATTTGCTGAAAATCGATGACAGGTGCACAGTGATTCGGCTAACTGACGTCAGGGTGGAATTTCCAGCCAATCGAGCTCCGCGCGCTATCAGCTGCCAGGTTGGAAGCCTCGCACAATTAGGAATATAAGTCAACGATGGCATGAGGTGTGCTTCTTTGTCATATAAGAACTTGTTATTTCTTATAAGTTTATCCATTCATTATTGTCCAATGCCCTAAAACGACAGTGAATTACCTTGACAGCGCTAGTTTCTGACATCATTCAAATATACAACACTTTATTTTGGGGAAACGGATTTTGTTTTTCACTACCAAACGAACAAAAGCGGGAACGCATTTTCCGTGTAAGACTACGACCGCTGACTAAGGTCGGCTAACTACAAACGCGTAACAGCGACAAACGTGTACAGTTTCGTCCGTGAATCTGCCCCCTTAGCGTTTCCGCCCCTTCTTCCCAAATCATTCCCCCTGCCCCCCCTCGTTACTCGCCGCCGTGCTCTGAACCTGCGACGCAGGCGATCCCTTTTCCACGCCTCCGCTCGTCTTTGCGGTAAAGCTCTGCAGCGCCGCGGCGTCTCCTCCCGTCACCTTAGACGATGCAGCCGCCGCTCTCTGCGCCGCAACTGCCGCGGAGCCCTTCAAAAGATGCCGCGCGTGCGCTTCAATTTTGTTGTATGCGGTTATTTCCTGCATGATGCTGGGTCAGGGTGCGGACCGTGGAGCAGTTGCTTTCGCATATCACGCTTTGGTATAGCTGGTACAACACGCAGTGAGGATGTAACCTGCATGAAGAGCATGCTCTTATCCACTATAAGGCTCATTCACCAGCAACTTTATAGTTCGTAAGTCATGTAGCAAACATGTCTTGAAAAACATCTGATTCTCTTCACACAGTGCTCACAAACTGAGCATGAATATCCACTTGCCCATGCATAGTAAACATCATTACCTTATTTACATCATCTCAAGTCACTGTACACAAACAAATAACTACCTCGATGCAATCTACAGATAAGTTTCCTGTACCTCGCCAGCCACGCAATAGCAAAGGCCTATATCGAGTTCTCAATTAGAAGTGCGTGCCTCCAACGCACTCCTCCTTACTTGCCGTTCTCCGCAGCCTACCTTTGCACCTCCGACACCAACGACCCTTTCTCGTGTCAAATTATATATATGCATGTTTAGGTTATCTATGTTAGAATAGTAGGAAGAAGAGGGGTTGCACTAGCAAGAATGAGGATACAAATAGCAAACCCTAGAAGGGTTGTACTCGCTATAGAGCACCCCACTACAGGCTAGAGCATAATATTCTGACACACCCCCATAGCCAAAGTGGGGTGTAATCAGCAGAGCAAGTAAAGCAGTACAAGCTCAGGGTGGATCACAATGTCACCACACATTCTGAGCACAAGTTCAAGAAGCAATAGTTTAAAGTTCACAATTATGAGCAAAGCTAGTGGTAGTCACAGAGGGCAAGTGAGGAGGAGGAGAGACTGTGGGGGAGAGAAGATGGGAGGCGACTGCTGACGCTGCAGACACACAGACGAGCTGCTGGCTCAGTGGCTACCGAAGCAAAGGCCCGGACTACAGGAGTAACTGGCTCCGCGGCTAAAAGTAGCGGCAGACGAGCAACTGACCCACAGGCGACTGGCGACTACCGGAGATTGTAGCCTCCGGACTGCTGGTGCTGCTGACGACAATACTGCTGCCTCCACTTAACCTCCCCCAGCTGCCCAACACCCCTCTCACACACCCGCTGCTACACCGCTAGCTCCACTCCCCCTTCACCCCCCCTTAGTACCACTCCAACGACTCCAACAAGTCCACCCCCCCTCAGCGGCAGCTGCAGCACAGGGAGACGGAGGAGGAGGAGGAGCAGGGAACGGCACACAGTGGCTTCACCCCCATACCCCTCACCCCCAAACCCTAATTCAGGAGAACGGGCTGTAGGAGGGGTGGGGCGCCAGTAGAAGCACGGGGGACAGCGGGGAGGGCAGGGGCAGCGAGGAAAGGGCCGCCCACGGGCCTGGCACAGCCGCCCGAACCGCGCACAGGCGGCCCGGGCCGCGCGCGGGCCTGGCGCAGCCCGTACGGGCCGCGCGCGGGCCTGGCGCAGCCCGTACGGGCCGCGCGCGGGCCTGGCGCAGCCCGTACGGGCCGCGCGCTGGCCTGGCGCAGCCCGTACGGGCCGCGTCCGGGCCTGGCGCAGCCCTTACGGGCCGCACGCAGCCTGTACGGGCCGCGCGCAGCCTGTACGGGCCGCGCGCAGGCCACGACGGGCGACGGGGGGCGACGCGCGGGTCCCCGTCGCCCGTCGCAGCGCCTCCCGAGGGCGACGCGCCGAGTGACGGGGCAGAAGCCCGCCGCGCGCCTCGGGGCGCACAGCGGGCAGAGAACCGCCGCGCGCCACGGGGCGCACGGCGGGCAGAAAACCGCCGCGCGCCTCGGGGCGCACGGCGGGAAGAAAAACTGCCGCACGCCACGGGGCGTGCGGCACAGAGGGTAGCAGTGGAAGTTGCAGCGGAAGCAACGAGGTGGTAAGACCACCCACAGGATCGATCCAAGGGGATCGACCTGCTCTGATAGCATGTTAGAATAGTAGGAAGAAGAGGGGTTGCACTAGCAAGAATGAGGATACAAATAGCAAACCCTAGAAGGGTTGTACTCGCTATAGAGCACCCCACTACAGGCTAGAGCATAATATTCTGACAATCTAGGCTGTATGGGAGTTAGCACTAGGGGGTACAGAAACTTTCTCGACACTCTAGTCTTGTATCCCAACCTTGACCTAACTCACACATTCTAGTCTTAAGTCTTGACATGGTATCTAGAGCAGGAGGTCTCTAGGACCTAAGAATAGGGCCCACCTGTACCGTTGTTACCTACTGCCTGCCTGCCTTGCCTGCTGCTCGCGCACGTCACCTTTTTTTTTTTTTTTTTTTTTTTTTTTTTTTTTTTTTTTTTTTTTCGCGCGCGCCTAGGCTGCTCGCGCGCGCGTCGCTTTTTCGCGCGCGCCTCGGCTGCTCGCGCCCGCGTCGCCCGCGCATCCCGCGTCGAGCCCGCGCAGCCCGCCGCCGCACGCAGTCCGCCGTCGCGTGCAGCCCGCCGTCGCCCTGCGCGCCGCGTCTGTCGCCAGCGCGGCCCGCCGCCGAGCCGCGCGCCGCGTCTGCAGCCCACGCGTCACGACGGCCACCTGAGCGGCCCGCTGCTGCCTAACGCACTGCTTTAGGAGCTCACGCGCGGCCGCTACTGCCTACTGCCTACTGCCTGCTGCCTCCTGACTGCTGCCTACTGCCTCCTGTCCGCTGCCTGCTGCCTACTGCCTTTGCCTGCTGCCATTATGACGACGCCTAACGTTCTCGCGTTCGAGCCTGACGGTCGCCCCATAGAGTTCGCTGTGTGGTTAGACGACCTCCAACTGTTCCTTCTGACCGATGCCAAAGAGGGCGTTTCACTGTTCGATTACGTGTCTGGCACTGCCGTTGCTCCTGCTGCCGATGCTCCTGCTCTCGAACGCTCACAGTGGCAGACTCGCGATGCTGCTGCGCGCCTAGCTATTAGGAACCATCTGCCGATTACTGAGCGCGCGCATTTCAGCCAGCACAAAACTGCTAAGACGCTGTACGACGCTGTAGTTGCGCGCTACTCCTCCCCGGCCACTGCAGCCATAGGTCGACTCATGCTACCCTACCTGTTCCCCGACCTCTCCTCGTTCACCACTGCTGACGACCTCATTTCCCACCTGCGCGCTACTGACACTCGCTTTCGTGCCGCCCTTTCAGCCGAGTTCTGCGCCGCAACCCCCCCCCCCCCCCCCCCCCCCCCGATGTACTTCACTCTCTATTTCCTCATCACCCGCCTCCCTGACACTCTTAGCTCCGTCAGGGACCACTTCCTCGCGCTAGACCCCCCCACTCTCACTGTCGACGACTTCGAGAAGCACCTCCTCGCAGCAGAGAAGAGCATCCTCGCTGTAGGTGCTGCTCGTGGCACTCCTCGCTCTCCCCTCTTTGAGGGGTGCTCCCCCTCCCCTCTCACCCCCTCCTACGCCTCCGCAGCTGCTGCTCACGACTACCTTGGTGCTGAGGAGGTCGGGGCTGCTTCCGCTCCTAGTGGGAAGCGTCGCAGCGGCAGGGGCGGCAAGGGTGGTAGGGGAGGTGGGGGTGGCGGTGGAGGTGGCGGTGGAGGTGGCGGTGGGGGAGGTGGAGGTGGTGGAGGCGGTCGTGGGGGTGGAGGTGGTGGAGGTGGTGGTGGGGGCAGCGGAGGCACTGGGAGCGGTGGAGGTGGTGGTGGGGGCAGCGGAGGCACTGGGAGCGGTGGAGGTGGCAGCAGCGGCGGTGGGGGAGGAGGGAGCGGTGGTGGCAGTGGTGGTCAGGGCCAGCAGCAGTCGCAGCAGCAGCAGCAGCAGCAGCAGCAGCAGCAGCAGCAGCGTCAGCGCCAGACCCCCACTTCCCAGCAGCTTCTTGACTGGTATGCCGGGCGTGGGGCTTCTGGGGGTCCTGGTCGCTGCCCCTATATCATTCGCACAGGTCCCCGCACTGGTCGCCAGTGCACAGGGTTTCACACTGAGCAGCGCTGCTTCGCTCGTCTTAGCGACGCCTGGCGCGCCAAGTTTCCTGATGCTACTGAGTTCCCCAACTGGGCAGACCTGCTTAGGCGTGATGTACCTATCTTTGATCTTGACTATGAGGCTATTCTTGCTGCCATGTATGCATTGACTGTTAGTGCTGAGGGTGACTGCTACTTGTGTGTGCCGCCTGACCCAGGTATAGCCCCAGGTATAGCGCCTGTGGCACTAGGTGCTTGTGAGTCTGCTCCCCCTGGTACTGCGTCCGCACAGGCCTTGCACACCTTCACACTTGACTCTGGTGCTTCCCGCTGTTTCTTTCGCGACAGCACCACAGTCACTCCCCTCCCTGCACCTATTCCTGTCTCGTTGGCTGACCCCTCTGGGGGCCCAGTGCTTGCACGGTCTTCCACTGTGCTTCCGTGTCCGGCGGTCCCGTCTGGTGAGCTGTCTGGTCTCCACCTCCCCTCGTTCTCTACGAACTTGGTGAGCAACGCCGTCCTTCAGGATCACTGGGTTGACACCTTTACTCCTGGAGGACAGCGTGTGGCGATCTGCACGTGTTCTCGGACCGGCCGTCACCTGGCCACGTTCACACGTGCACCTGGGTCCAGTCTGTACACCCTCACCACTGCGTCGCGCTACACCCCTTTGTCTCCCCAGCTGTACGCGTCTGCTCAGGTAGCTACCCAGTGTGAGTGTCGCCGACTGTCGCACGACACTCTCCTGTGGCACCACCGCCTTGGTCACCCCTCCCTGCCTCGCCTCCGTAGCATGCACTCTCGCTACCTGGTCTCTGGCCTTCCCGAGTCTCTGCCTGCCCTACCTCCCTCGCCTGCGCCGCCCTGCATTCCTTGCGTCGAGGGGCGGCAGCGCGCCGCTCCTCACTCCTCCTCGTTCCCTCCCACAGAGGCTCCACTGCAGACTCTCCACCTGGACGTGTGGGGCCCAGCCCGCGTCCGTGGACAGGGCCACGAGCGGTACTTCCTGCTGGTCGTCGATGACTACACGCGTTACACCACGGTCTTCCCCTTGCGCAGCAAGGGGGAGGTGTCACGATACTAACGTAAGATAGGCGACGGGTTTAACTAATAGGCCTAGGCTTAGTAGCCTAGGCCAAGCGGGTGTCGAGAGTAGCTTGCCAAGGGAGAATCGAGAAAAGGTATTTCAATAATAGAAAACATTACAAGTTATAGTCCAAACCAAAGGTGCACCACCAATAGCAAAGAACAATAACTACAGTAACTACAGCAAGCAGGCTATATTAAATATAACTTTAACACACCCCCTTAGCCTGCTTGCAGTAGAAACTAGTGCAGTCAACACCTCTTGAAGGGGTAAACCTGGCGTAGTGGAAGACGGCAGAGAGATAAGTGAGGAGGAGGAGGCGAGAGAGAGGAGAGGAGAGGAGAGGAGATAAGAACGAAGGAGGAGGTGAGAGAGAGGCATGAGGAGAGGAGGTGAGGGGGAGCCACCCGTGGCGAAACCCTCTTATGAACCCCCTTTTACAAAGGGGGAGGTGAGAGCGGGATGAGGAGAGGAGGTGGGGGGGAGCCAAGCGCGGCGAAACCCCTCTTACTAACCCCCAAATCCCCACACCCATTCAACCACCCCCCTTAACCTCACCCCCCATTTCATCCGCCCCCTGGAACCGCACCCCCTCCTCCCCTTCCTTCCTCCACACCCCTGCCCCACCCACAGTAGTCCTTCCACTGTCCCGCACACAGCAGCCAGTCCCCCACCCCCCCCGGTTCCTGCCACATCCCCCCCACAGCAGCAGCCGCGGGAGGGGAGAGGCAGGGTAGAGGGTGGTGCTGCATTGGCTCACGGCGGACACCATATCCGCACCATCTCCCCCCCAACAGTCGCAGTTGCAGAGGGGAAGGCGACGAGAGAGGTTGGGGCGGCGGATAGCAGGTGGGGCGGCGGGGAAGAGGAGGTGCGGCGGAGTGCTGCTGGTGCTGTTACTGGCGGTTGCGGGTGTCGCTGGCGTTGTCGTTGCTGGCGTCCCCGCCACGCCCTTACCCCGTCCCTCTCCTCCCCCACAGCGACTGTCGCTGCACACGGGAACAACCGCGAAAGCGGGTGACGAGAAGGGGCCATGACGGGGAAAGGTGAGGCGACGGGAGGCGAAGGGGACGGTGGCAAGGACTGCAGGTGCTGCTGGCGCAGCTGTCGCAGTTGGCGCTGGTTTGCGTCACTGTTGCGGTTGGCGCTGGTCGGCGCAGATGTTGCTGCTGGTGCTGGTCGTTTGCAGCTGGCGGATGGTTCGACGGCGGATCCGTCGGCTCGCAGACTGGCAGGTCCTTCGGCGGGTGATGCACAGGAGCGCGATTGGCGACGGGTTAGGTACGGGTGGGGACGGGGCACGTCGGGACCGCGAGCATTGATGCTCGCCATTGCTGCCGTCGCAGCCGTCTCGACTCTTGCGACGGTCACACTAACGGGCGCGCGACGGGCAGCGCGAGTAACGGCGGTCGTTGAGGGTAGGCCCATTGAGAAAAAAATTAGGTCGAGAACGACCTAGCTCTGATACCATGTCACGATACTAACGTAAGGTAGGCGACGGGTTTAACTAATAGGCCTATGCTTAGTAGCCTAGGCCAAGCGGGTGTCGAGAGTAGCTTGCCAAGGGAGAATCGAGAAAAGGTATTTCAATAATAGAAAACATTACAAGTTATAGTCCAAACCAAAGGTGCACCACCAATAGCAAAGAACAATAACTACAGTAACTACAGCAAGCAGGCTATATTAAATATAACTTTAACAGGAGGTCCCTGATGTTTTGATCCCCTGGATCCGCGCTGTTCGTCTCCAGCTCCGTGAGCGGTTCCAGTCGGACTTTCCTGTCCTGCGTCTGCACTCTGACAGAGGTGGTGAGTTCTCCTCATACCTCTTGGCAGCCTTCTGTGCGGAGCACGGCATCCGCGAGACATTCACGCTTCCGGCCTCTCCGCAGCAGAATGGGGTTGCTGAGCGCCGCATTGGCTTAGTCATGGAGGTCGCTCGTACCTCCATGATCCATGCGGCTGCCCCCCATTTTCTGTGGCCGTTTGCGGTCCGGTACGCCGCGCATCAGCTCAACCTCTGGCCCCGTGTCTCCTTGCCGGAGACCTCGCCCACACTGCTGTGGACGGGGAAGGTTGGCGATGCGTCGCGTTTCCGGGTCTGGGGTGCTCGTGCCTTTGTCCGCGATACCACCGCGGACAAACTCTCCGCTCGCGCCATTCCCTGCGTCTTCCTTGGCTTTGTCCCTGACGCGCCTGGCTGGCAGTTTTACGACCCAGCCTCGCGCCGTGTCTTTCCGTCTCAGGACGTCACCTTTGACGAGTCCGTCCCCTTTTACCGTCTCTTTCCCTACCGCAATGCCCCTCGCCCCCCCCCCCCCGCCGCTCTTTCTTGCCCCAGGTCCTCCCCAGGTAGACCCCCTCCCCGCGCCAGGTCCTGCTCTTTCAGTTGTTTCTCAGGTAGACCCTCCCGTGCCTGCGCCTGTTGAGGTCACTGGTGACTCAGGTCCTACTGGGGGTGGTGCTGTCTTTGGGGGTGCTGAGCCTGGGGGTGCGGAGCTTGAGGGTGCTGAGCCGGGGGGTGCGGAGTCTCGGGGTGCTGAGCCTGAGCGTGAGGAGCCTGGAGGTCCTGAGCCTGGGGGTGCTGAGTCTGGGGGTGCGACGCCTGAGGGTTCTGAGTCTGCTCCTGCGCGGTCTCCTTGGAGTAGCCGCCTTCGTACGCGTGTGCCTCTCACCTCACAGCAGATGCACGACTGGTACGGTCGCCGTCAGGGTCGTGCTTCTGGAGCTCGGGGCTCTGCCGCTGGAGGTACGTCTGCTGACGCCACTGGAGCTGGGAGTGGTGCTGGTCTCGGAGGTGCTCGCACTGGAGGTGCTGGAGCTGCTGGGGCTGGAGGTACTGCTGAGCCTGAGGGTGCTACTGCTGGAGACCCTGGGTCTGGGGGTGCTGTTGCTGGAGACACGGAGGCTGGAGACCCTGGGACTGGAGGTGCTGGTTCTGGGGGTGCTGCTGAGGGTACTGGAGCTGCTGGAGGTGCTGGAGCTGCTGAGGGTGCTGGAGCTGCTGGAGGTACCGGAGTTGCTGAGGGTGCTGGAGCTGCTGGAGGTGCTGGAGCTGCTGAGGATGCGGGAGCTGCTGAGGGTGCTGGAGCTGCTGGAGGTACTGGAGCTGCTGAGGGTACTGGAGCTGCAGGAGGTGCTGGAGCTGCTGAGGGTACTGGAGCTGCTGGAGGCGCTGGAGCTGCTGCGAGTGCTGGAGCTGCTGAGGGTAATGGAGCTGCTGGTGCTGGTGGCACTGCACAGCCGCGCCTGTTCTTTGCTCCACCGTCTCCGTCGTCTCTACCACCGCCTGACTCCGTACTTCGCCAGGTTCTTAGCCTCCCGTCGTCTACTGGTCTTCCGTTACAGCCTGGCTCACCTCTGCCTGCTCCTTCTCCTTACGCTGAGCAGACAGGGGGCTTTACTGAGCGTCGTGAGCCTGCGTCGCGTCCTGTCTCACCTGTCCGTTCTGGTTGGTCCAGTCGTCGTGTTCCTCGTCAGCGTCCGCCGGCTGTCCCCGGTCCTTCCCTTGTAGTCCGTCGTCCTTCCTCTCCTCCGCAGCGTGTTCCTCTGTCGTCCCCTCCGGAGTCTTCTCTGCCTGTTGTTCCGGACCCTGAGTCTGACCGGTTTCGTGCTGAGCACTCTACTGTCACGCGTCTGCTAGCCACTGTTGTTACTGACCCGTCGTTTGAGTCTGCTGCTGCGTCTGCCTTAGTCGCTGAGCTTGTTGACTTTGCTGCTGCCTGTCGTCTAGACTACGCTGCTAGTCTTGTTGCTGAGTCTGAGTCTGTCTGTCCTCCGTCCGTCGGGGGTGAGTCTGCTCTTGGCACGGACGTCCTTGAGGACAGGCACGAGGACCTTGAGTGTTTTGCAGCCGCTGCGCCTCATCTTGTGTCCATGCTGCTTGCCCCTGAGGGAGACCCGGATGCACCAGACATCCCGACCCCGCGCTCTTACGCTGAGGCGATTGCGGGTGAGTACTCCTCTCAGTGGCAGACAGCCATGGATGCAGAGATGGCATCCTGGAAGTCCACAGGCACCTACGTCGACGAGGTTCCCCCTCCTGGGGCGAACATCGTTAGTGGCATGTGGATTTTCAGGGTGAAGCGGCCGCCAGGTTCTCCGCCTGTCTTCAAGGCTCGTTACGTTGCTCGAGGTTTCAGTCAGCGAGAGGGGGTTGACTTCTTCCAGACCTTCTCCCCCCACCCCGAAGATGACCACTCTTCGGGTGCTGCTGCACGTTGCCGCCCAGCGTGACTACGAGCTTCACTCTCTTGACTTCAGCACAACTTTCTTACAGGGCAGCCTGCACGAGGAGATCTGGCTGCGCCGCCCACCTGGCTTCACTGGGTCGTTCCCTCCTAGTACCCAGTGGAGCCTCCGACGGCCGGTCTACGGTCTCCGCCAGGCGCCGCGTGAGTGGCACGACACACTGAGGACGACACTTGCGGCTCTTGGGTTTTCTCCGTCGACTGCTGACCCGTCGCTGTTTCTGCGCACCGACACTTCACTGCCGCCGTTCTACATCCTAGTGTACGTCGACGACTTGGTCTTTGCCACTGCTGACACTGAGGCTCTCGCCCTGGTGAAGTCGGAGCTGTAGAAGAGACACACGTGCACAGACCTGGGTGAGCTGACAAGCTATCTTGGCTTGCGGATCACTCGGGACAGAGCACGCCGCACCATCACACTGTCTCAGTTACACATGGTGCAGCAGGTCCTTCAGCGCTTCGGCTTCACCTGGTCCTCGGCACAGCCCACTCCTCTGGCTACAGGTCACTTGCTCTCAGCTCCACCTTCGGACGAGTCCGTAGAGCCGAGTGGTCCTTACCCAGAGCTAGTGGGCTGCCTCATGTACCTGATGACCTGCACTCGTCCTGACCTTGCGTACCCTCTTGGCCTTCTGGCTCGCTACGTGGCTCCTGGTCGGCACCGAAAGGTGCACATGGATGCTGCTAAGAGGGTACTACGCTACTTGTGCAGTACATCGGGCATGGGGCTCGTGCTTGGAGGACGGAGCGACGTTGTCCTCACTGGGCACTCAGACGCTTCTTGGGTTGACGACCAGGCTACGCAGCGGTCGTCACAGGGTTACACCTTCAGCCTTGGCTCTGGTTCGGTTTCTTGGCGTTCTACACGCTCGTCTTCAGTTCTCAGCTCCAGTTGTGAGGTTGAGATCTACGCCACAGCCATGGCTGCACAGGAGTTACGCTGGCTCACCTACCTGCTGTCCGACTTGGGAGAGAGGCCTCGTTCTCCTCCAGTGCTGTACGTCGACAACAAGGCCGCCATTGCCTTGTGTCAGGAGCACAGACTGGAGCACAGAACGAAGCACATCGCTCTGCGTTACTTCCTTGCTCGAGAGCTACAGCAGCGTGGTCAGCTTCGTCTTGCTTACGTGGCCACTCGGGCCAACACTGCTGATATATTCACCAAGGCACTTCCGCCTGGTGATCATCAGCGTTTCTGTTCTTTGTTAGGCCTTGTGCCCACGTTTCCTCACGTGCTGTAGGCTTTGTTTGTACTGTGATCTATATATATATCTCTGCATGTGAACTGGCCTTGTGGCCTTTTGCTTGTGCTCAGACTGCGTGGTGACGTTGTGATCCACCCTGAGCTGTGTTTTGTTTCTTCTCTTGACTGGTCTTGTGACCGTTGCTTGCTCTGGCTATCCCCCATTTCGCCTATGGGGGTGTGTCAAATTATATATATGCATGTTTAGGTTATCTAGGCTGTATGGGGGTTAGCACTAGGGGGTACAGAAACTTTCTCGACACTCTAGTCTTGTACCCCAACCTTGACCTAATTCACACATTCTAGTCTTAAGTCTTGACATCTCGATATCGCCGAAATGCGTGTTCACGAAGCTCTGCAGAGCCGCCGTGTTCTGCGTCGTCACCTTCCACGGCGCATCCGCCGCTCTCTGCGCCGCAGCGGCCGCAGAGCCCTTCCCCGCTTCGCCCATGCGCGCAGCGAGACGCTGCATTTCAATAGCGGCATTCCTGGGAAATTCCGCTACCGCCGCTGCTCCTGCCTCCGCCGCCACCGCCGCGTCTTTTGCTGACCGGAGCGAGACGATAGCCTGAGACGGGAGCAGGAACCCGAAGAATGGCTGCCATGGCAGGTTCAAAAGGGAGTTGAGTGCAGGATTGAACGTTTTTGGACAGACTGTGAAGAAAGCTCACTCCCAAGTTCCAACGTCAGCGTCCTTAGGGCGTATCTTTGGTTCCGGTCATGAGCACTGTTCATTCTACTGTTTGGGTCATGCGGAAATTGCGCATGACCCGAAGTGGGCTGCCGAGCCGCGCGCGGCCCCGGCTTTGGGTCAATGTGCAGGTGTTGGGCGACTGACGTGCACGACCCACCCCCAACCAATCACCTGGTTGCACGATTCACGTTAGACTGCCATCTTTTTGGCGGTCGTCAGTCGAGTGCCACAATTTTGCAATGTACCGTATCCTACACCTCTGCACCCAACCACTCGGCAAATTGATCCCAGTGACCCAAGAATGTGTCTAAAATTTCCCGCGTCGCGCTCCCAACATTTGGGGATTCACGCCGACATTTTTTACGATTGTGTTTTTCGATGGGTGTCGCATGGTTTTGCGTGGGTGTAGCAAATGATCTTTCGAACTGTTCTGGCATCCCTCCATTGGATGTGACTGTTGTTTGGGGCGTAACTTTGGCGCGAAAAGCCTCGCGCCAATTTGGAGGTCGCATGAGTTCCGAGAACCCAAAGTGGTGTTTTGTGTTGTTCTGGGCATCCGCAATTCGCGCATGCCCGGAACAGTGCTCATGACCCGAACCTGGATACGCCCTTAGTGTTGTTGAAAAATGGCGTTCAGCACTTATTTCAATGCAAGCGCGAAGAACAAGCACGCTAGGCTTCGGGGGAAAGTTGTGGTGAAGGGAGGGGGAGATAGCAAGGGCAAGGGGAGGAGCGATTAGGGGAAGATCGGGAAGTCGGAGAAGGGAAGGGGGAGAAACCGGGGGGAAGCGGCAAGAGAGCGCTTTGGGGTGGTGAACAAAGGCGGGATTTCAGAAGGCGAGGGGATGCAGGGGAAGAAACGGAGGCGAATCTGACGGTTGCATTGTGAGTGTCCACATCAGCGCAGAACATCCCAGAAGCAGTCAATCGGGTCGCGTGTGGTGATTTGGTGAAATTCGCTGTGGCGATGTTGCTGCAAGAAAATCGACGATTCACTGTGATCTGGTTACCCGAGGCCAGGGTGGACCAATCGAGTTCCGCATGCGGTTGTGACCCCACCCAATCACGAGGGCTCCCTGTGTGAACGAGGAAATCAAATGCACGACACGAGTGACAAGTTGGGGTTCAAAATCCCAGCTTACTACAGTCTTAGCTCGACCTACGGATTTGTTGACATCAGGTTCGTGTAAAATGTGCAGACTATGAAAGTCTTTCTACAAGGCGCAACAGAACAAGACAGTCATCTATATACAAGAAATATTTGTGCTTCATACATCACCTGTAATCCATTCTTCCCCACAGCAGCAACCTAGTTTCCCTGGTTATGAGCAGCCATAGACTGAACCTGAGCAGCAGGGGAGCCCTTCTCCACTCCGCCACTGGTCTTCGCCGTGAAGCCCTGGAGGGCTGCCGCATCACTCCCAGTCACCTTAGACGGGGCAGCAGCATCTCGCTGCGCTGCTGCAGCACCAGACCCCTTTGCGACACCGCCACCTCCCATACGGGCGGCAGAGCTCTGGATGTGAGAAGCGGTTGCGTGAGAGATGCCTCCGCCATGGCTTCCCCCGCCGTGGCTCCCCCCGCCGTGGCTTCCCCCACCATGGCTTCCGCCACCGGAGGCCTTTCCTCCGCCTCCGCCGTGACTGCCTCCGCCATGACCGCCTCCGCCTCCCTTTCCTCCGCCTCCACCTCCTCCACCGCCTCCCTTAGTCATGATGCTGGGATGTAGGTCGGAAAGGCTGCAATTGGGTCGTGACAATGACTGCCAGAAGGATGCTAGTCAGAGAGTGTCTGGGTTCCCGTGACTGTTTCGTCTGTGTCTCGTTCTGACAAGTCCAAGCGACGGTCTTTTTGAAGTAGTAGGCTCCACGCCCACTAACTGTGTCCCCCAGACTGGAAGGCGCTCGAATCGCCATTCGGGCGTCAATATCGTCCATTTTCAGAATCGCGGCGCGGACAGGCCGATAGAAATTACATTTTCCCTCCACGACGCGCGCGCTGTTAGGCCCCTCGAAAGTCGCACACGTGGTACAATAAGTTGCATGCAAAGGTGACGATCTTACATGTCATTGTGCAAGAATCTGCCTCAGCTCGGTCCGCCACGAATTGTAAAGCGCCAGTTAACATGCAAAGATACACTGTCGGTATCGCTGTCGCCATGAAATCTTCAAAAGCGTTCGACGGCTTTCAGAGTTGCATGTGAATCTACTCATAGATCGGCTGGTTGCATGGCATGGTGAAAGCGAAGAGAGCATACGAGAGCATAACTTAGGGGTGGAGGGACTCGGTAAGTCACATGACAAACAGGAGCCTTGGCTGAAGTCACACGAGGAATGAGGAGATCGAGAAATGACGCGAGAGGGCATGCCGAGATGAGAACGTAGGAGTGAGTGATGCCCGCAGACCAGATGCAGAGCGTGTACAGGCCGTGCCACCATGCGGGAGGGAGAAGAGGTGGATGTGAGAGGAGGGGAGGGGAGGGGAGGGGAGGGGAGGAGAGGGGAGAACAGAGTGGGCGGGGAGAGAAGTGCGAAGGAGATGATCGGATGGTTCTCAACAACTCAACTTCTCACCGACGGAGTAGATCGAAAGCTGTGGTGGCATGTCAGAAGCAGCTGTCCGTTCAATCGGTTGCGCAACTCGGATGACGGCTTGTTTCTTCGTCGCCTGTAGTTTCACGCACTACAGCGTACAAAGCAGCTAGAACAAGATACTTTTCTTTGGTAACGAAATGAGACCCCCTATTCTTTTCCGCATTCTAGCAACTCGCTATTAGGGGTACCAGCTCATGAAGCGTACAGATTATCGAGGACCAGCGGTATTCTCAGGTGATCCGCGGTATTGTCACCAACCAACTTTCAGACCTCAGTACACAGTACACACACTTGACATCACATCAACCTTCAACCATACCGTACTTATGGTGTGATGATTCCCAGGGACGCTCCTAGAATCATCTGTCATAGAAGCCGCTGGTCACGAAATACTGCATGCATCAGTACCGGAGATTCGTGCGTCTCGATGAGCAAACTCTAATTGCTATCTTATGGTCTTCGTTCAGCTAAATAATATGTTCCCAGCGGTCTAACATCCTCAGCAAATTAGTCCATATGCCGAAGAAGAACCCCAAGTCGAAACGCGCGGCCGCGAAATCCGCCGCGCAACGCGCGGAAGATGACGAGCCGCCGTCGCTATCCATCGCGACGGTCGCTCGCGCCGCGTCCGAAGCCGTGGCGGCCGACCTGATGTCCGCCGCGGAATCAATGTCCGCCGATCGACTGCGCGCCGATGGCGTAATTTCCTCCCTCCCTGCAATCTCCGTCTCCGGTGGCGCCGCCGCAGTTTCCGCCGCAAATGACGGCGCCGGCGTCGCCATTGCCGTCGGCGGCCGGTCCAGAAGCCTTTCCGTCTCCCCTGCTGGTAGCCCATCAGCCGTCGCTGCCGCCGCAACAGCCGCCGCAGGAACCGGCTTCACAGCTAAGAGTAACCTTGCAGCGAAGGCGAGCTTAACTCCTAGTCCCGGTAGCGCCAGCGGCGGCGGCGGGAGTGGCGGGAAAACGGGGAGGAAGCTCCGCGTGGGGCGGCAGCGATCGTGGCTGCCACGTGGCAGCCCTTCAGCCGCGCAAGCAGCATCTGCCAGCTCACCTTTCACATCAGGTGAGGAGCGTAGTGTCCTGTGTGCTTGAGACCATGCGCTCTACTCGTTCAGGAGCGAGTCAGGCTTAATACCCTATGTGCTTGCCTCTCCCTGAGCCTCCCGCTGCTCCCCTGAGTCTCCCCCATTATCCCCTTCTCCTCCTCCCCCTTCCCTCAGGCCCCTGATTTTCCTCTTCCCCCCCTCCCCCTCCCCCTTCCCCCTCCCCCAGCCCCTTGGTCGATGTGTCGGTTCCGCCTCGCCACTCTCCTCGAAGTCGCCTTCTCCTTCCTCCTCCTCTTCGTCACCCTCCTGCTGCACCGCAATGGCTGCCTCTCCCCCTCCTCCCCCGCCTTCCCCCTCTGCTGGCGCAACCTGGGCGTCTCGCTCCCCCCATCCCTCCGCCCATCCTCCACCCCATCCCTCCGCCAATCCCTCCCCCCATCTCTCGTGCAAGGAGTGAGAGGCGGGGGAGAAGGAATGAGGGGAAGAAGAGAGAGTGGGGGAATGCAGGGGGTGACGGAAGGGATGGGGGGAAGGGGGGAGCGAGGGGGAATTGTTAATATTCAGAGAGGAGAAGGGGACGCGTCATTACTACGCGTGCTGATGCCAGGCAATGGGGGAAGCAGTAGTGGGAGCAGGGGGGAAGGGGGAAGGGGGAGGGGGGCCCTGGGGGAAGCAGATGCAGCTGCAGCTGCTGCGTTGATGGGGCGAGGGGGGGAGGAGGGGAGACGGAGTGGGGAGGGGGAAAGCAGGGGCGGGGGAAGTGATGGGGGGCAAGGCGGGGAAGGGGAAGGGGCGAAATTTCAGCAATTAGCAGAAGGGGAAGGTCCGACTACGAGGAACGAGCCAGGGGGAGGGGGAAGGAGAGAGGGAGAGGGAGGTGAGGGGGAAGGGGAGGCGCAGCATGGGGGGAGAAAGGGGGGAGACGAGTGGGTGTTGCGGCCTGATGAGAAGTTCATGTGGTTCGCCAGCCATGGCGGATTTGGTAACCAGGTGGGCGAAATATCTAGGCCTTTTGAGTTACCAGGTTTGCAAAACTTCTGAGTTACCAGGATTGCTCGCCATGTCTCCCTTATAAAGTGATTCAACTTGTGTAAGGCCTTCAATTAGCGGGTCTCCTGAATCGAACGCTTATGATCCCGCCAAAGCTCTCCCACTTTGCCAAGTCGGCTGGCATCGGCCGCTGCAACCACTGTGCTGCTTCTTTCCCCCTTTTGATCCCCCCCACCGCCTCTCTTCTCCCCCCTTGTGCTCCTCCCTGTTTTCAGGTGATCCAGTTGGTGTGGGGCCTTCGCCTAGCAGGTCTTCTGAACCGAACGCTCATCATCCCACCCAAGCTCTCCCACTTCGCCAAGTCGTCTGGCATCGGCCGGTGCGATCGCAACCCCACCAAGCCGGACCGGACACGGCATGATGCTTGGGGTCACTACTCTGATATGATGCGAGGGGGAAAGGTGAGAGAGGGAGGGGGGGGTGGTGGGGAAAGGGTGGGAGTAGGAGGGGTATGTTGGGTTTTGTTTTGATGCAACCCCACCAAGCCGGAACGGATGCGGCATGATGCGTGGGGGCGATGCGCGGGGGGAAGGTGAGAGGGGAGGGGAGGGGATCGTTTGTAGGGGATGTGTTCAAGAATGCAATGAAACCCCACCAAGCTGGACCGGACGAGGCATGATGCGTGGGGGCACTACTCCGATATGATGCGCGGGGGGGAGGTGAGAGGAGAAGAGGGGAGTGGTGTGTGTTCATAGGAGAGTGTGACTCGTGTTTTCAACCCCACCAAGCCGGACCGGATGCGGCACGACGCGTGGGGGCATTAATCTGACATGATGCGCGGGGGGAAGGTGAGAGCAGGGGAGGGAGGGGTTGTTTGTAGGGGTGTGTGTGCAAGGATGCAACCCCACCAAGCTGGACAGGATGAGGCATGATGCGAGGGGGGAAGGTGAGAAGGGAGGGGTGAAGGTGAGTGGAAAGGGGAGTGGGGGGTGCAGTGCAAGTGTACGGGTAAGCTCTTGAATGCAACCCCACCAAGCCAGGCGGGACGAGGCATGATCCGTGGGGGCATTACTCTGAACCGGGGGGGCATGATCCGGGATGGAGCATGATCCATGCTTCTCTCTGTTCCCAACCCCCAAACACCCCTAGGGCTATGTGTGCGTGTCTGATGTGATGCATTTCAAGCAATCATACGAAATTTCTCTTACCCGTTCTTTCTTGTCCCTCTCTCCCCTCTCCCAACCTCTCCCACAAATCCCCCCCAGGGCTATGTGTCCATGTCTGACGTGCTCGATTTCAAGACCCTGCCGCCCACTCAATTCGTTCTTCCCTCCCATCCCCGCCGTTCCCCGCCCTCCCCTCAACGCCCTCTTCCTCCCCCATCACACCCAGGGCTACGTGTCTATGTCTGACGTGCTCGATTTCAAGACTCTGCCGCCCGCTTTCATCCGCACCATTGATCTGCGGCACTTTGCCGCCCGGTTCTGCCACTGTGACGTGGCACCAGCCTGCTACGGTGGCGCGTGTCGGCAGCTGACTCATGGGAGGCACCACGACCCCCACTCACGTAAGGTGCTCATTGCTCCGTCTCACTCATTTCTCCTTCCTACTCATTGTTCACTGCTCCTTGTTCACTGCTCTTTGCTCACTGCTCCTTGCTCTTTGCGAAGGGCGTGTCAATAGCTGACTCACGGGAGGCACCACGACCCCCACTCACATAAGGTGCTCATTGCTCCTCAGCGCTCATTGCTCGTTGCCCGCTCTTGCTCTTGCTCTTGCTCTAGCCCTTGCTCCTTCCAAGGCGCTTGCCAGTGGCAGCTGACTCACAGGCGCTTGCCAGTGGCAGCTGACTCACGGGAGGCACCATGACTCCCACTCACGTAAGGTGCTCATGGCTCCTCATGGCTCCTCATGGCTCCTCTCTGCTCGCTGCTCCCTGGCACTTGCCACTTGCTCTAGCCCTTGCTCTCCTTGCTCATTACAAGGCCAGCAGCAGCTGACTCACGGGCGGCACCACGACCCCCACTCACGTAAGATGCTCATGGCTCCTTTCTGCTCTTCTTTGATCCCTGCCCTATGCTCTCTGCTCTCTGCCCTTTGCTCTCTCCCTGCTCACCGCTCCTTGCGCATTGCTCGCTGCTCTCTGCTCGTGCTCTGATGGGACTTGTCGCTTCTGCCACTGTGACGTGGCACGTGCCTGCTATGGTGGGTGCAGGGCTCAGCTAGGGGGACAGAGGAACAAGTGTATTTGCAAGCGAGAAATCTCAACTATTTTTTTCGTCTATTCCTTCCTCCTCTTGTTCCACCCATCCACTCTTCAAGATGACAAGTGCATGTGGGAGTGCGGGGCAAAGCTAGGGGCGCAGGGAGGGGCGAGTGTATGTGCAAGTGAACACATTCATTCAACTCCTCCTTTCTCTTTTCCTTTCCCCTCCCCTTCCACCCACTCCACCCCCAACCTTCAGGACGACAAGTGCATGTGGGAGTGCGGGGCCAAGCTAGGGGCGCAGGGAGGGGCAAGTAAGAAATGGAGGAAGGGGGGGGTGCTGTATCCCATCGACAACACGTGCAAGGACACTCTCTGGACCATTGGCAATTATGCAAGGTATGTGCATGGTCCAGTGCGGTGGAATGTGTTGGATTGCAGTGGAGTGAGGTGGAATGCGGTGGAATGCGAAGCCAGGGGCGCAAGAGGGGAGGAGGCAGAGGCAGCAGGGAGTGCTGTATCCGATTGACAACACGTGCAAGGACACTCTCTGGACGATCGGCAATTATGCCAGGTATGTGCATGGTGTAGTGCGGTGGAAAGCGGTGGAATGCGATGGATTGCGGTGCGGTGGAACGTGCACCAGGGAGGAAGAAATGGAGGCACCAGGGAGTGCTGTATCCGATTGACAACACGTGCAAGGACACTCCCTGGACGATCGGCAATTATGCAAGGTATGTCCATCCATCCATGGTGCAGTGCGGTGGACTGTGGTGTGATGAGTAGTATGATGAGTATCACATTTTGCAAGGACCTAGAGGCAGCATTGGAAGAGAAAGTTTCAGCAGTGCCGGCTTTTACCCCCATCGACTTGAAACGAATTGTTCTCTTTCTCCCTCCCATCCCATGCCCTTGCCATCCATCTCCCCCCTCCCTCTCCCCCCTCCTCTTGTCCTCCAAGTCTCAAAGAACTAGTGGCAGCAGTGGGGGAGAAAGAACCAGCAGTGCCGGCCTTTGCCCACATCAACGTGAAGCACAACCGCAACGAGCCCGTGCTACTCAACGTCTTTGCCACTCTGGGAGATTTGTCACCTGCCAAAGACAGCAAGGTGGGTGCTAGTGCGGAGGACTAACAACCTGTGCTGCAAGCATGTCAACTTGAAGCACAACCGCAATGGGCCCGTGCTACGCAACATCTTCTCTACTCTGGGGGATGCCTCGCCTGCCAAGGACAGCAAGGTGGGTGCTATTGGTGGGTGCTGCTCCACGAATGTGTTTTGAGTCGACTCGAAACACATCTTTGCTACTCTCGGGGATGCATCGCCTTCAAAGGACAGCAAGGTGAGGGCTCATCCACGAATGCACACCGAATGCGTTCGCACAGAATGCGTTGAGGCGCAAACATAGCAGTTGCACTTGTCTTGCTCTTCCATCCTCACATCTCGTTGCTCCCCACACATGCCCTCCTCTCGTTGCTCCTCACACATACCCTCCTCTCGTTGCTCCTCCCCCCACATGCCCTCCTCTCGTTGCTCCTCCTCTCACATGCCCTCCTCTCGTTGCTCCTCCTCTCACGTGCCCTTCTCTCGTTGCTCCTCCTCTCACGTGCCCTCCTCTCGTGCCCACCTCTCGTTGCTCCACCTCTCACATGCCCTCCTCTCCCGTATGATGCATTTCCCTCCTCTCTTGTCTCCTCCCCTGTGCCCATCAGGTGCTGGCCTTCCCTTCGCTCTTCCATCCCCGCATCGCAGACATCAACCTTGAGTGGGACGACCGCGCGCAAGCAATCAGAGAGGTGGGTGGAGTAATACTTGGTAGGGTGATAAGTGCCGGTGCTATGTTTTAGGTGCGTGGCGTGATAAGCGAGTGACATCAACCTTGAGTGGGACGATCGTGTGCAAGCAATACGAGAGGTGGGTGGGATGATAAGAGAGGTGGGTGGTTGAGGCATGCTTAAAAAAACTCCCCATCTAACCCACTGCAGGCGTATTTTGAAAAGTCTAAAAAAACTCCCTGTGTGTACCCCACCCATTTCTGCAGGCACCAGTATCAATGCAGTTCACCCCCTGGCACATGATTTCATCTACAGCAGCATAGGCCGCCCCTCACACACCCCCACTGCATTCCTCCCCATCTACTCCTCCCACCTTGGCAGGCCCCTGTGTCAATGCCCTTCACTCCCCCTAGAATGGATCTGGCCTGTGACTTCATATACAACAGCATAGCAACATGCACCCCCCACTCCATGCACTTTCACACACTCCTCTTACTCCACCACCCACCTTGGCAGGCCCCTGTGTCGATGCCCTTCACTCCCCCTATGATGGATCTAGCTCGTGACTTAATACACAACAGCATAGGCACGTGTGCTCATACTCCACTCATTCCCCCACTGCACCTGCAGGCCCCAGCATCAATGCCCTTTACCCCTCCCATTATGGATCTGGCTCGGGACTTTATATACAACAGCATAGGCCGCCCCTCGCACACTCTAGGCTATCCCCACAGCATTCTCTCCATCCACCCCACCCACCCTTTCCTCTCACTCCTCCCATTCCTCCAGGCACCCGTATCAATGCCCTTTACCCCGCCCATAATGGATCTAGCCCGGGACTTCATCTACAGCAGCATAGGCCGCCCCTTTGGCTGCATGCAAGTGCCGGGCACAGATTGCATGTTCGTCAAGGCGCTAAAAAACACTCTCAAGTAAGTATGCCCTTGCGACCTTTTCCCGATGCAGCTAAGCTTCTGTCCTTTTCCCCACGCGTCCTTGCATGAGCACTCTGTACGTGTGTTACGTTGAGAATTCTCGAAAGTTATTCCTCTCGTTTTCTAGCTGTACGCATGCTACACTGAAACATCTCCTTCTCTCACCCATCCCCTTCCGTCTCACCAGGGATGCAGAAGCGACTCTAAAAGAAATGCTTAAGCGAAACCCCCGTGCCCACGCCCCTCCTCTCAAGTTCCCCCTCTTCCTTATGACCGACATTCCCAAGGCCTCGTGGAAAGGAACCTTCCTGGAGCGCCTCGGGGAATTTCCTGTTGAGCTTTTCACTGTAGACGGGATGATGGATAGGGTAAACGCCGCAGCGCGGACGATTTTAACGGAGGAGATTGGGCTGTATGCTAACCGGGGACAGCCGTACCTGACTGCTAATATGGGGGATGGCACTGGTTCTGCTGGTGGTGGTGGTGGTGGGGGGAAAGGAGGCATGCAAATTGGGCCTCAGACTCCTATAAGACAAAGAAGGCGCAGACTTGCAGCGGCAGAGAGAGGGGAAGTTGAGAGATTAGCACACAGGCTAGAGGGTGGGAGAAGAAGGCAAGAGGAACAGGAGGAGCAGGCAGGACGACGCAGATTAGCAGAGGGGGGGGGGGGGGGGGAGGGGAGGGAGAAAAGAGAGCGGAAGAGCTTGAGGATATAGTGCTGTTTGTAGAACAAGCAATCTGTTGCCATGCCACTCTTGGCACGTTCACCACACTCAAGTCCACTGCTGGCAGCCTCGTGCACGCTCTGAGACGCGCGGGGAACTGTGTGGTCGAGGAGGAGGCGTTTAAGCGGCAGGGAGGGAGGAGATGAGGAGGAGAGACTACTAGACGAGGAGTGGGGAGGGAATCGTTGAGGGGAGAGGGGAGGCCATCCAAGGGAGAGGGGAGGTCATCCAAGGGAGAGGGGAGTGGGAGGGCCAAGGGGATTTAGCCATACAGCCTTGTACTAGGTGGGCGGGTAGTTTGATGGAGGATGTACGGTAATTGGAAGCAAAAGGGAGGGAGGAGATGAGGAAACGAGAATGCTGTTGATGTGGCGTTGGGAAAAGTAATTACGCTAAGGAAGGAGGATTTTGGATGTGTATCATAGCATGGTATGGTGCAATGTATTGCTGAGCTCACTGTCGTTCGGCTTATTCTGGTACCGTATGGGTGGGAGATAGGAAGTACCCGCAAAAGGTTTTAAATACAGTACCCATTTTGGCATTTCACAGCATCCAAAATCCAGACCTTCAGTTCCTTTCCATTTTTAATCCTAGGATGCAATGACTAGGGAGAATTAGTTTGTGAAGCTCTATCTGTCTATCATGCTCTGCTCTGCTGCTCCACCCACCCATCCATCCCGTTATTGTTGACAATAATACCCTGCTCCACCCACCCATCTATCCCTGCACTCCTGACTCCTGTCCTGTGTCACAATAATGCAAGCACAGCCTTGACCCCTCTAGCTGTTAACCTTCTTGCTCACGAGCCACACATTCCGCCCATACGCCTATCCTTCACGTATCAACAGGAGGAGGCGCCATGAGCCAAGAGAGTGTGTTAAACAGATGCCCCATCCACCCATCCAGCGGGCCCGGACGGCAATACGGTAACGCAAGCAGTCCACCTTTGTAACCCCTGCAAGTCAGCAGCATGATCTTCTTTCTGTAAATCTGCCTACCGGTATTCTTCACGCATCAACAGGAGGAGGAGGAGGCATGAGCCAAGAGAGGGTGTTAAACAGATGCTCCACCCACCCATCCAGCGGCCCCGGATGGCAATAATGCAAGCACTCCACCTCGCTAACCCCTGAGAGTCAGAAACATGCCCTTGTGCCTGTATACATGCCTATCCTTCACGCATTCACAGGGGGAGGAGGAGGCATGAGCCAAGAGAGGGTGTTGTAAAGATGCTCCACCCACCCATCCAACGGGCCCGGGTGGCAGTAATGCAAGCAGTCCACCTTGTTCATAGCCGGAATAAACTCCTTATGCCCATCCGCCCGCAGCGCCGTCATCGAATCGACATCCATATAAGCAGCCCCGTACCTCTTTACAATCACCTCCGCAAGCTTGTTCTGACGCGCGAATTTATCCCAGTTATACGGCAGAATCGCCGGATCCTGCCGTTTCTTCAGCGGGGTTTTCTGGTCGGCGCAGTTGGCGTGACCGGGCGGCGTGTTTCGCCAGATAATGAGCTTTTCCGGGAAGCGGCTTCGGAGGTACATAAGGGCGCGTTCAAGCACCGGTGCGTACAGCTCATCCTCTTCATAGTGCGGCCCACGATTGATTATAATAACATCGGCTTCGCGAATAACTTCCATTCGGGACCACGGCTGCCGATCGAACAAGCGAGGATTCGACAGGGTCAGCTGATCCGTTCGAACATAAGCTGCCCGGAGCCCCGGGCAGACGTCGTCGCTGACCGAATAAAACTTGCAGAAGGCGTGCCGGACCGACGAATCATTGTGCCAATCGGAGCAATACCTCGGGATCTCCATTCTCAATTGCTCCTCTGTGACTGGCTTCGGGAGGTTCAGCACGAGGTTGTTCAAAAACGCCTCTGAAAACTGCTCGTTCAGGGAGTCTCCCAGGAAAAGGAATAGCCGGCCTCGCCCCACTCTTTCACAGAATTTCTCCGGGGAGAATTTCATCCAGCTGGAGTGGGAGAATCGCATCGTCATCCGCATCGTCTCCCGCCCATCCCCACCACTCTCCACCGCTCTGGCCTCCCTTCCGCGATACCTCCTCCCGCCCTCCGCCTCGTCCTCCTCCTCCACCTCCCACGATCGCACTGGCACCTTCGGGCAAGCATTTACCGGCACACCCCATTTGTACTTGAGAGTTTCCCTAACTGTCCACTCCTCCGCATCCCCCTTTGCGTCTGCTACCGCATCAGCCGCCCCCACCCATTTCCCGCGGTGCCCCCGCGAGTCACATTGGTAGGGTTTACCCATAAACCACCAGGGTAATCGGCGGGGATTCGGGTCATATACCCACCTGCCCTCCTGACCTACACATTTCATCCAGGATCGGAACTTCTGAACCTGGAGAGAGCTCCGAAGCACCGAGCCTCGGATCAGGTCCGTCGGCCGAAGCAGCGAGCGGCCGCTAGCTTCGGCGTCGGCGAGAGCCTCGGCGGCAGCTTCGGCGTCGCGGGTCGGGGACATAGCAGCGGCTACAGCAGCAGGGGAGGTGTAGACATCGTGTGCTATTCGATCAATGACGTCATCGATCTCCCGCGTGTTGCACTCCAATTGGCCGGATCCCGCCGCCACGTCATCGCTGTCGCCGCCCGGCTGGCAGATAAGGACGAAAGAGCGGACGTCGTTGGCAGAGGCGAAGGAGCGGGAGAGGAGGGTGTAGTGGGTGGTGTGGGAGACGGGGATGGGCGGCCGCAGGTCGAGAACTGCCGCCCGGGGCGGCATGAACATGGTGTTGGTTATGGCAAGGCCGAGACAGGTTATAAAGAGTGCTGCTCGGTTGAATATGTGCTTTCCTGGGTGAATGTAGGTTGAGAGTGGTGTGGATATAGGGGGGTATAGGGTGGATAAAGGGAGAAGAGCAGAGGGGAGTGACTGAGACAGAGAACATTGCGGAGAGGGATGAACATGGTGTTGGAATGGCGAGACCGAGACATGGTGTTGGAATGGCGAGACTGAGACATGGTGTTGGAATGGCGAGACTGAGACATGGTGTTGGAATGGCGAGACTGAGACATGGTGTTGGAATGGCGAGACTGAGACATGGTGTTGGAATGGCGAGACCGAGACATGGTGTTGGAATGGCGAGACTGAGACATGGTGTTGGAATGGCGAGACTGAGACATGGTGTTGGAATGGCGAGACTGAGACATGGTGTTGGAATGGCGAGACTGAGACATGGTGTTGGAATGGCGAGACTGAGACATGGTGTTGGAATGGCGAGACTGAGACATGGTGTTGGAATGGCTAGACTGAGACATGGTGTTGGAATGGCGAGACTGAGACATGGTGTTGGAATGGCGAGACTGAGACATGGTGTTGGAATGGCTAGACTGAGACATGGTGTTGTTGGAATGGCGAGACTGAGACATGGTGTTGGAATGGCGAGACCGAGACATGGTGTTGGAATGGCGAGACCGAGACAGGTAATAAAGAGTGCTGCTCGGTTAAAGATATCCTTGCACGTACATGCTGACATGGACATGCTGACGTGGACATGCTGACGTGGACATGCTGACACGGACATGCTGACATGGAAATGCTTCTTTCATTCATGCTCCCACTACCATCCATGCATACGATACGACCCATGCACATGCATGAGATGACGAACCTTCCATGACCTTTCTGCTGGAGGAGAAGACGACGATCCTGTCAGCAGGGAAGTACCGGTGCAGCAGCTCCTCTACCTGCCCTAGCGCCTTGGTGCATCGCATTGAGTCGTGTGCCACCACCACCTGCCATTACAAGCAGCAATACACATGTATATGTGTGTTTACACAGGGGTATGAGAGGGTGAATACCGGTGCAGCAGCTCCTCCACCTGCCCCAGCGCTTTAGTGCATTGCATTGAGTCATGTGCCACCACCACCTGGAGGTGCACACATACACACGCATGCACACAGTCACACACATGAGCTTGAGAAAGAGGGTGAGTACCGGTGCAACAGCTCCTCCACTTGCCCCAGCGCCTTGGTGCATCGCGTTGACTCGTGTGCCACCACCACCTGCCATTACAAGCAGCCCACATGCACACATTCACTCACACATGCACAGACACACATGGGTGTGTGGGAGAGAGGGTGAGGATGGGTGCAGCAGCTCCTGTACCTGCCCCAGTGCCCTGCTGCATTGCATCGCATTGAGTCATGTGCCACAACCACCTGGCAGTCAGTCAGTCACGGCATGGAAAGATGGGTTAGAGAAGGAGGAAAAGGGCCGCACTACTCTACTCTAGCAGCTACTCCGTGTTTGAGATAGTGTTTTGAGACGTCTCAAAACACTACTCCAAACAGATGGGTTAGAGAAGGAGGAAAAGGGCCCCACTATTCTACTCTAGCAGCAGCAAAACACCTGCCCCAGCAGCTACCTACTCCACCTGCCCCAGCAGCTACCTACTCCACCTGCCCCAGCACTCTATACAGTTGAATCACCTCAATAGTCTCACCTGCCAGCCAATAGGAACCCACGATCCGTGCAGGTCCCCGCCCTGTGCGTATCCCTCGTCTGGCAGAGCCGGCAGCGACGGGAACACGGAGCGAGCCCCATCCAGGAACCCAGGCGGCACCTTCGGCACCAGCTCAAGCGGAGAGGCGGGGTCGTTGAGAGCAGCAGACGGGTTTTCTTCAGTGAGAGAGCGTGAGGAGGAGGAGGAGAGGGTGGGAGTGGGGGTGGTGGAATCGGCTGGGGGGTCTGGGAGGGGAGGGGTGGGCAGGAGGAAGCGTCGGCGGAAGTGTTTCCAGAGAGGGAGGTCGGGATTGGTGCAGTGCGGTATGACAGGCTGATAGAGCGTCTGCACGTGCCACAGGTACTTGCTGCTGCTGGTGGTACCATCGGTGGTGGAGAGAAAGGAGTGCTTTGCTAGAGGGAGGCCCAGCAGCTGGGAAATCAGCAGCTGGAGCAGCTGTGGTTGGGTGGGATGGGGGGAGAAAAGGCAGAGAAAGGGTGGGAAAGGGAGGGAAAAGAAGGGAGTGAGATGAATGATCTGAAAAATTGGGGTTTGTAGGAAAAACTTCAACGTTCTAAAGGAGTGGGTCTAGGGATTACTTGTGTGTTTAGGGTTTAGCTTGGAGAGGAAAAAGGATCTGCTGAGCAAACTGTGACTGTTGAGTCGACTCAAAAGTCACCTTGTTGTGACTGTCATAATGTAATTGCACATATCTTTCTTTTTTTGAAATGGTTAGTGTCCCTCCCACCTGGTTGTACCACCAAACCTTCTTGGCGTGAGTGATGGCAGAACGTGGTGCAGCGGCAGCAGGGGCGGCAGCACCATTAGGATCTGATTGTAATGGGGCCACTTCTCCACTGCACCACTTCACACCACTTCATACCACACTATACCGCATTCTACCGTATTCCACCGCACTGCAGCATACCTTCTTGGCATGGGTGACGACTTTGGCTTGGCGCAGGGACGGCAGGACGTGGTGCAGCGGCAGCAGGGGCGGCAGCACCATTAGGATCTGATCGTACAGAGGGCGCCTCTCCATAAAGTGACCCGGTAAAAGCAGATTCAGTACAGTCTCCTGGCGAGACACGTGTGTATCCACTCCATACACCGTCTGATGATTGATCAGAAACGATAGGAGGAAGGGAAGAATGGAGAGAGAGAGGGAGGGAGGGAGGGAGGGAGGGAGGGAGGGAGGGAGGGAGGGAGGGAGGGAGGGAGGGAGGGAGGGAGGGAGGGAGGGAGCGAGCGAGCGAGCGAGGGAGGGAGGGAGGGAGGGAGGGAGGGAGGGAGGGAGGGAGGGAGGGAGGGAGGGAGGGAGGGAGGGAGGGAGGGAGCGAGGGAGGGAGGGAGCGAGGGAGGGAGGGAGGGAGGGAGGGAGGGAGGGGGGGAGGGAGGGAGGGAGGGAGGGAGGGAGGGAGGGAGGGAGGGAGGGAGGGAGGGAGGGAGGGAGGGAGGGAGGGAGGGAGCGAGGGAGGGAGGGAGGGAGGGAGGGAGGGAGCGAGGGAGGGAGGGAGGGAGGGAGGGAGGGAGGGAGGGAGGGAGGGAGGGAGGGAGGGAGGGAGGGAGGGAGGGAGCGAGGGAGGGAGGGAGTGAGGGAGGGAGGGAGGGAGGGAGGGAGGGAGGGAGGGAGGGGGGGAGGGAGGGAGGGAGGGAGGGAGGGAGGGAGGGAGGGAGGGAGGGAGGGAGGGAGGGAGGGAGGGAGGGAGGGGGGGGGGGGGGGGGAGGGAGGGAGGGAGGGTGGAGGGAGGGAGGGAGGGAGGGAGGGAGGGAGGGAGGGAGGGAGGGAGGGAGGGAGGGAGGGAGGGAGGGAGGGAGGGAGGGAGGGAGGGAGGGAGGGAGGGAGGGAGGGAGGGAGGAGGGAGGGAGGGAGGGAGGGAGGGAGGCGAGGGAGGGAGGGAGGAGGGAGGAGGGAGGGAGGGAGGGAGGGAGGGAGGGAGCGAGGGAGGGAGGGAGGGAGGGAGGGAGGGAGGGAGGGAGGGAGGGAGGGAGGGAGGGAGGGAGGGAGGGAGGGAGGGAGGGAGGGAGCGAGCGAGGGAGGGAGGGAGGGAGGGAGGGAGGGAGGGAGGGAGGGAGGGAGGGGGGGGAGGGAGGGAGGGAGGGTGGGAGGGAGGGAGGGAGGGAGGGAGGGAGGGAGGGAGGGAGGGAGGGAGGGAGGGAGGGAGGGAGGGAGGGAGGGAGGGAGGGAGGGAGGGAGGGAGCGAGGGAGGGAGGGAGGGAGGGAGGGGAGGGAGGAGGGAGGAGGGATGGAGGAGGGAGGGAGGGAGGGAGGGAGGGAGGGAGGGAGGGATGGGAGGGAGGGAGGGAGGGAGGGAGGGAGGGAGGGAGGGAGGGAGGGAGGGTGAGGGAGGGAGGGAGGGAGGGAGGGAGGGAGGGAGGGAGGGATGGGAGGAGGGAGGAGGGAGGGAGGAGGAGGGAGGGAGCGAGGGAGGGAGGGAGGGAGGGAGGGAGGAGGAGGGAGGGAGGGAGGGAGGGAGGAGGCGAGGGAGGGGAGGGAGGGAGCGAAGGAGGGAGGGAGGGAGCGAGGGAGGGAGGGAGGGAGCGAGCGGGAGGAGGGAGGGAGGGAGGGAGGGAGGGAGGAGGGAGGGAGGGAGGGAGGGAGGGGGGAGGGAGGAGGGAGGGAGGGAGGGAGGAGGGAGGAGGGAGGGAGGAGGGAGGGAGGAGGGAGGGAGGGAGGGAGCGAGGGAGGGAGGGAGCGAGGGAGGGAGGGAGGGAGGGAGGGAGGAGGGAGGGAGGGAGGGAGGGAGGGAGGAGGGAGGGAGGGAGGGAGGGGGGGGGGAGGGAGGGAGGGAGGGAGGGAGGGAGGGAGGGAGGGAGGGAGGGAGGGAGGGAGGGAGGGAGGGAGGGAGGGAGGGAGGGAGGGAGGGAGGGAGGGAGGGAGGGAGGGAGGGAGGGAGGAAAGAACACGTTTCAATATTGGGCAGCAACCCGAGACTCTCACGAGCAGCATGAACCTGTACGGACGGGGGACTTCTAAATTCGACTCAAAAGCCACCTGGGGGCATGCATTGCAATACCCAGCAGCACAGGCAGCACGGATGGACGCACCTGTGAGGATGACGTGGCACATCCTGACACGTCGAAGCGATGCGTCGCGTTGAACACGCGACCCTCGCCGTCCAGAAACACGTCCCTCAGCACAAACAGCGCACCCGCCGGCTCCGGAGCCTTCTTAGCCGCCTTACCCCACTTTAATCTCCGCCGCGCCTGCGCCTCGAGCCGCGCCTGCTCCTGCGCGGCTCTTAACTCAGCCGTTCTAAGAGACAAGGTGATTGGTCCCGGATCGTCGTCCGGGGGACAGCCGGGTCGCAATAGGTGGCCGGGTTGGGTCCCGTCGTCTTCTAAGCACTCATCCAGCGGGTTAACTCCTGTGCTGAAGTGGATCCGCGACTGCGTACGGTTCAGGAGAATCGTACGGCCGTACGCTGCCAGGTCAGCATCGGGATCGACCGGATCCGCGGGATTCCAACACGTGGCGACCTTATCGGCAAACCCGGGGCAGGGGGAGAAATCGGGACACGGTTTCCCCTTGCAAGAAACGGCTCCGGTCGGATTGGAGATGTCTGACGAGGAGGCGAGAGGAGCGAAACGGACGAGCTTCAGTTTTGAGAGATTAATCGGCTTCCCTAGGGAGTATTTTCCAGCTCTTCGGCCGGAGGGTTGGAGAACCTGTAAGCGTCGCCGCTGAAAGACGTCCTTAGCGGATCGCGAGGTTTGGAAGAGTATCCGCGGATCACGCGGCGATGAGAAATCGGACGGTGGACGTGGTTCCAGCAGGCGATCGACGGCTGAGATCCTGGGTAATGACGAACGATCAGACGCGTTATAAGGGGTGCTGAGTAGTTCTATAAGGGAACTCGTTACAGGAGAGGTTTCCAGTCGCCTTAGCAGACGGGATAGAAGACGGTAATCGGCTGAAGAGGGGCGCGAGGGTGAACCGGCAGAACCTATAACGAATGCGCTTATAACGACGAGGATTATACGGAGGATCAGCGAGCCAGACGGCCTCGGGAATGGTCGAGGCGCCATGAGCACATGAGAGGAGGAGAAAATATTGTTGGCGAAATCAGCGCCCGAAATTAGCTAATAATGACGAGCAATGGGAGGAGGCCACGCCCACGTCCAGTGGCGAAGGAATGCGCGACTCCTACGAAGGGAGTGCAGGGGACAGGATCCAGGATACGCAATGGGATCAGATCGGATCAAAACGGATCAGAGCAGATCAGAGACAGCGCACGCGGCGCCTCCTACTACGGCGTTGTGGAACGCAACGGCTCTATCCGCGCCATTGTCTTGGGATTGCAAGAGACTGTAATACAATCTAGCGTGCCAAGGATTTCAAGACAATGCCCAATGCCTCCAATCTAGCATGCCAAGGACTAACACATGTGCATGGTGCTCCTTCACGCAACTCATCGACTCGTCTCGTAGTAATGCCGCAATGGGCTCTTCAACTGGCGCTTAATCCACTCGAGCCGCGAGGATCTTCCTATTCTAACTGTGGGAGACACCGCATTTTGCCGCAGCGCACCTAACAAAGACATCAACCGACAGGACAGGTGCAGGGGGGAAGGGGAGGAGCAAGCAGACAAGCTTGGTTTGGTTTGTTCGGGTTGGGTGGGCTAGGGTGGACGGGTGGTCAGGGGGCGTGTCAGAATAGTCACGTTTGGGTGCGGCTTAGAGAGATGCTTGACGTTCTACAGCATTTCGTGAGAAATTTAGAACGGTTGGGTAGAGTAGGGACGAAAACGAACGTTTTGGCACACCCCCAAAAGGACAGGACAGGTGTGTCTTGCGTGGATGCACAGGTGGCACAGGAGAGCACAGAGCAGGAAGCACTCAGGGGAGGACAGGAGGAAATCTACAGAGAAGCTTGGTGCGGCGCAGGTGTGTCGCTGACGTCAAGTAACCACCTGGCTGTTATGTATTTTGATAAATTAATTAAGTGTTTGTACACATATACATTGTAAATAAAGCGGTATCATAGTACCCTCCCACGGTACTGACCGGGGTTCGATTCCCCGGATGCGCAATAGTGGTTTTCACGGTCCCCTTTTTTGCTCTGGCTCTTCACATTTTTGCCCAGCTCTTGTAGTACCTTGCTGGTAGTACTGCATATCCCATTAGTCCCAGTACCACCAAGGTCTTTCACACCTAGTGCTCACTTACGGTATCTCTTCACCAGCTGTACCATGGAACCCGCAATCCCCAAGCTTGAAACAGCATTTGCAGGCCGTTCAACCACTGGATTAGCAACCAACCTCTAAAGTAGCAGCCACGAGCAGTATAAACTTTCCTGCCTGCCAGTCTTTCGCATAAATACAACAAAAGGTACCGTACCCTACTTCCTTATACTGGTAGTCATTCAAAGCAGATTACTGGAAATCCTTCATACGGTAACAGTGTCTAAGGCGCAAGGGGCAGAGTCCTGAGCAGGGTATTGTACAAGATGTCCATCCATGAATCCAACGGTCCAGGGGTGCAGTAGTGCAAGCAATCCAGCCGTTGGATCGACGGCTTCCATCCCTTGTGCCCATCCGGCCGTAGAGCCGTCATCGAATCAACATCCATGTAAACAATACCCAGCTCCTCAGCCATTCCACGCGCCATTTCATTCTGCTGACTCAGCTTCTCCCAGTTGTAAGGAAGAATGCTCGGGTCCTGCCGTTTCGAAATCGGGACCGTTGCGTTCTCGCAGTCAGCATGACCTGGCGGGGAGTTTCGGTATATGATGAGTTTCTTGGGCCATCGGTTACGCATGTAAGTCATGACTGATCGCACTTCCGGCTCGAACACTTCGTTCACCGTATAGTGCGCTCCGCGATTGATTATAACTATATCGGCGTCGGCAACTTCCGGCATGCGCGTCCACTGTAGCTCGCTGAAGTGCCTCGGCGCGCCGAGCCAGAGGTGGTCGCTTCGGATGAATAAAATCTTCAGGCCCGGGCAGATCTGGTCGGCAAACTCAACGGTCCGGCAAAACTCATGGCGAATCTCCGTATTGTTAACCCACTCAAAGCAGAACTGCGGCTTTGACTCCTTGATCGCCCAATCAGCCGGCTTCGGCACATACCTCAGCATCTGGTTGATAAAAATCCCGAAAAACTGCTCGTTCAGGGAATCCCCCAGGAACAGAATCGTCCGATTCTTGCCGACCCTGCTGCAGAAATCAGTCGGCTGAAACGGCACCCATGCCTGCTCCTGAACGGGCATAGGGCAGCTTCCGTGCACCCTCCAGTCGTACTTGAGACTCTCCCGTACCGTCCACCCCTCGGGGTTCTTTCCCGACAGAGCATACTCATCTGATTTTTTTTGCATGAGCCCTTGCGTTGCGTCCAAATGCCGGTGGTCGCACAGGTTAATGGTCCCCATGTATTCCCAAGGTAAGACGCGGGGAGTCGCGTTGTAATCCCACCGACCCTTCGTTGCAATGCACGCCATCCAATCGTTGAACGCCCGAACCTCCTCCCCGGACCTCAGCTTCGTCCCGACCAGCTTCTGCTTCAGCCCGAACCTGCCGCCTGCCGGACCTGCTATGGCTCGGACTGTATCTCTGGTTACCACCTCGCTGGTGTACACGTCGTGCGATACCCTATCCAGCACGTCCCGCACATGCCACATGTCGCAAGATAAGCGGCTGCGGAGCGGCGCATTCCCATTGGCCGGCTTCGGGTCGGGCAGGGCGGCGCAGAGCAGCAGATAATGACGAAGCCCGCAAGCCTCTGCGAGCTGCCTGGTGGGCAGATCGGGATCCGCTGCTACAGATGCTGCCGAGCCTGTTTTCTGGGCGGCACTGCTTGGGTCTAGAACGGCCCGAAGCTCTAGGACGGTGGCGTTGGGTGGCATGAACATGACGTGAGCGAGGGCGGAGGTTGATGTAGATATGAAGAGAACTGCTCGGTTGAATAAGTCCTTGGCTGTAAGGGATGGGGGGAAGCAATGAGAGAGAGGGGAGGGATGGAAGAAAGGGAGGGATGGGTTAGAGAGGGTGGCATGAAGATGAGATGAGCGAGAGCAGAGGATGATGTGGATATGAAGAGAACTGCTCTGTTAAAGAGGTCCTTGGCTGTAGGGTAGGAGGGATGGGAGAGGGGAGAGGGAGGGGAGAGGGGAGAGGGAGGGGAGAGGGAGGAGAATGAGGGGTGGGTTACGAGGAAGGGCTGGCATTGGGTGGCGTGAACATGACGTGAGCGAGAGCAGAGGTTGATGTGGATATGAAGAGGACTGCTCGGTTGAACAGGTCTTTAGCTGGAGGGTAGGGAGGGATGGGGGAGCAGAGACGGAGGGGAGAAAGGGAACGGTGGCGTTGGGTGGCATGAACATGAGGTGGGCGAGAGCAGAGGTAGACGTGGAGATGAAGAGAACTGCTCGGTTGAATAAGTCTTTGGCTGGAGGGTAAGGGAGAAAGGAGAGCGGGGAGGGATGGGATAAGGGGGAGAAGGAGGGGTGGGTTAGAAAACAAGGGTGGCATGAACATAAGCGAGGAGGGAGGGGTGTGCGGACAACGGGAAGGGGAAGAGGGTTGGGGGCGAGTGGGAGGGAAAGGACATGGAGGCTAATGGGAGGGGAAACGGGGGTTTGGGGGGTGATAGAGAAAACGGGGGGGAGAAGTGAGGGTGGTGGAATGTGAAATGAGAGGGGGGGTGAGTTGTGGCGACTAGAGGAGGAACATATTATTCTTAAACGTTCATTGTTTCACTCGTAAGTTTTGAGAGGGGGGGTGAGTTGTGGCGACTAGAGGAGGAACATATTATTCTTAAACGTTCATTGTTTCACTCGTAAGTTTTCATAAGTATTTTCTCCACGTCCGTCATTCATAATCCCTTTAAAATATTCATATTTGGAGGAATAATGTTGTCCTAAGGAAACGTCAACTGGAGGAGAAATTGGGTGTGGGGCGGTGGGGCATTGTAGGGGGGGACATTGAAAATCCTAATTATGCGCCTCAAGAGTATATGCTTACCTTCCAGAACATTGAGGTTGTTCTTAAAGAGTACAATCCGGTCCTCCGGGTAAAAGAATCTCAGCGCATCCCTGATATACCCTGCCTCCTGCACCCGCCCTGCCACGTCAACACCCACCACCACCACCCAATCCGCCGGCACGCCTCCCTCCAACCCCGCTGCTGACTCAGCATTTGCTGACTCAGCACCGGTTTCTCGGAAAACTTGCGGGGAATCTCTAGGGAGGAGGTGCTTGGAGCGGAATTGGGTCCACAGGGCCATGCTGGGCTGTCGGCACTGCTGCCTGACGGGTTGGTAGAGCATTTGCACGAACCAGAGGTGGGGTACCCCGGGCTTTACCCCCTGCACTTCGTGGTCTGTGACGGGCAGTTTGAGAACTCTGTTGGCCACTGCTGATAGGAGCTGGGAGGGGGAAGGGGGAAGGGGGGGGTAATGGAGGGAAGGGAGGGGACACGGGGGAAGGAAGGAGGAGGTGGGTGTTGGTAAGGAGGAGTTGCGTCCGTTCACTACTGCAGTTTAGTGCATGGTTGATTGCAGTGGTGATTATGGTGGTGATGGTGGTGGTGGTGGTGGTGCCAAGGAAATGACAGGATATATTTGGCGTTTCGTGGTTTACGTCACACATGCTCTGCTGCGTTGCGTCACACATGCCTTCCCTAGTGCCAAATAAACCTCACGTTGTGCCACTCCCAACGTCCGTTTCCTTCCTCACCGAAACACCCCTTGCCCCCTTCCCCGCTCTATCATCCCCTCCCTCCCCGCTCCCCCTGCCCCCCGCTCTCCTTTACCCCTTCCCCTTTATTCCATCCTCACTTCCTCCCTTGCTCACCTTTCTGCTCCGCGCCACTATAATGGCGTCTTTAAGTTGCGGTAGAACCTCTTTAAGCGGCAGCATCATGGGGAGCAGGTCCGTGAGCTCGTGAAACACCTCAGCACGAGGATCTGCCACGTCAGACAGCAGGTTCACCACGTCACGGTGCATGGTGACGTGTGTTCCTGCGGGGTACGAGACCTGCTTGGTTAAAAGGAAAACGGGGGTGGGCGGGAGAGGGAGGAAGGGGTGGGAGCAAGGGGAGGGGGGGGGTGGAGGGTTGGGGGAGGAAGGGATCCGTTGTATATAAGTTTTATAAAAGGGAGTTTTTTTGTCAAGATTCGATAATTTTGTTCGTGTTATGGCTCGATCATGATGACCTCATAGAAGTTGGACTGGCGGACATGGAAGAGAGCAGGACGACTGGCGCGAAGAAGGACGAAGGAGCAAGTGAGAAACAGGGAAAGGAGGCGGAAAGAGGGGGAGGGGGAGCAGGAGGGGGATGGGCAGGGGAATTGGGCGAGGGGCCGGGAGACGGTACGGGGTAGGGTAAGGGGGAGGGGATGGGCCGAGGATGGGGCAATGAAAGGGAGAACAGATGCGTCACGGTGAAAGGAGGTTCAACTTACGTTCAATTCGGTGATGCAGCCCGACGAATCGAACAGATGCGTTTCGTTAAACACCTGCCCGCGCCAGTTCACGTAAACGTTCTCCAGCACGAACACCTGCCCGGCCCATTTCTTCTCCCAGTCTTTAATCACCCTCATCGTCTCATTCTCCACTGGATCGTGGGGTCCAGGACACCCTGGCCGCAGCAGATCACCTGGCGATTCACCTGAGTTTTCCAGGCACAAATCCAGGGGGTTTCCCCTCCCGCGTTTCTGCAGGATATGAAGCTGCCGCCTCTGATCCGCGACGGTTCCCGGGCCGCGGAACGGATCGACATACTGGGGGTTCCAGCAGGCTTTAAGAGACGGGAATTTAACTCCGCAGCCCTTAAATTCCGGGCATTGGCCGCCGTGGCACTTGGCCTGCGCAGCGCCGTCGTATTCTGGTCGAGGCGTCTGAAATTCGTGGAAATAGTCGAGCGGGACGCGAGTTAAGGAATTAAGATGAAGCGGCTTCTCGAGCTGGCGCGAGGCGGTAGGGGTGTAAGCCTTGAGCGATCGCCGTTGCTGAATGTCGTTCTCCGATGACTTAAGAGATCGCGAGGACGTAGGGTTGAATCTACTGAGAGATTGTCGGATTCTGGACGATAGAGCCTGCACGAGGTTCTCGCGCGATGCGGCTTCGCCGGTTAGAGGCTGACACGTGGCGAAGGCGAGGAGCAGCAGGAGAAAAGCAGAGGCGGATCCATGAAAGGAGAACCCCATGATAGTCAGGTACGGATTTTGAGGCGTCTTCGAGCCTCAGACGTCTCAGAAATCGAACCTGCGACGTTCCGAGATAGGCAGAGACGGATATGTCTGTCACGCGTTATTCGCGTTCGCAAAAAAATGATGGATTGCGCGAGCTAGCAGCTTGTTAGGGTCAGTCGGCCTTCCCTAGCTTCCCTGAGCTGTTTAGTAGCCAGACCGCAGAATCATTTTGGTCAACGAGAACGCGTTGCTCTAGCCAAATGGTACTGCAGGCAGCAGCTGCTGAAAGAGCAAGGAGGCTAGAGATGTTTGCAAAAGCAGAAGCAAGCGTTCCTACCGGCTGGACCGGCTACGTCAACCATCAAGCGAGTTCGATGGGAATGAAATGAAATGGTGTATTTCTGCTGAAGACTTCTAGGTTGGTTGGAGTGTGGGGAGGGGACGGGAGGGAAGGTGCGATGGATGGGTTGACTGGCTGGTTGGTTGCAGCTGCGGGTGGAAGAGGGGGAGGCTCGTGGCGGCGGGGAGCGGAGGGGGGATGGATGCGGAGGAGATGGTTGAAATGCAGGAGCCAATCCCGAAGCTGAATCTCAGCGATGTTCCCGTGGCGCCTCGAGTCTCCACCAATGGTGGCGAGACAAACCAGGGGGAGGCAACCATCCAACCGGCTTGCTCTTCCGATAGGGGGGGAATGCTCGCGTGGTTGGGCTTGCGCGCGCAAGAATGAGCGCCACACGTTTAGTGCTGTACACGTTAGGTAGGCATGTCAAATGAAGCCGAGCCGATTGATTCAGCCGTCCGTTGTCGGGGCGCGCATCAGGTGCGCTGTCGGCCAGGGACACCTGGCGGACCCTGCGGCGTGAGGTGGAACCTGAGGACTGGTGATTAGGCTGGGTGGTGGTTATTCAGTATGGGCTGTCCGTACGCAAGATTCCATTCGCGATACTAGTTAAATGAATCAAACTGCTGTTTGCATACTGGGTTGTTGTTGGTGTAAAGTGGAAACACAAGTTGAGAACCCTACTGTCACACTAGTAAAGCCACCACAACTGATCAGTCAGCAGAGAGGATCAATCCTAAACTCTAGTGTACAATAGTCCAGCAAAACAATTCAAGAAAATATCGACAAAATAAAAAACTGTGCACACCCTCTTTCCTTGCTGCTGCCAGCCGACCCTGCTTATTACCCCTGGACAGGAGGTATCAGGGAGTCTTTCCCCCCTGCCAAACCGCCTGAAAAGGCCCCTGACATTAGACCTGGAGGTGCATAGGAATCTCGCGACATTGAAAGCATGTACAGACTGCTGCCTCCTGCTTTTGAAGAAAATATATATAACTCCACTCCCTTACCCCCTCAGACTACCATAGACAGGCAGATTCCGATCACTATAATCACGATCCAGGTCACCTGCTACTGATCCTGTGGCTGAGCTGGCGCCAGACGCCCATTTCCGAGGCTTACGATAGGCTGCTGCTGCCACGTTGGAAAATACAGCAGTGTAGCCCACACCACCATCACCCCCACTCTCATCCTCCTCACTATACCCCAACGGACCAGGCATAGCCCCAACCCCAACCCCACCCCCGCCCCCTCCTGCTTTCCCTCCTCCACCTTTTCTAAGCGTGGCCGCTGCTTGTGCTGCTACCACTGCTGCTGCCTCCTCAGCTGCAGGTTTCACATTCGAAAACGGCAGCGGAGGAACCACCGCCCCCGAACCTCCCACATGCCCACCCATATGCCCACTCCCGCCGCCCCGGCTCCCAAACGCCCCAGCACGCGCCACCGCCGCCCTATGTGAATGAGACGGGGAATGCCACCCTCTCGAGCCCGAATTCCCCGAAGAGTGGGTTGACGAGCTGTACCCAGATGCTCGCCCCTCGTCCTCATCCTCCTCCTCCTCTATCGCCCTGAAACCCTTAGCCGACCGTATCGAACCCGCCTCTGAACTTTCTATTTGAGACCCTGGCCCTGCTAAACCGTCATGGTGTTTTCCATGTCGGAACCTTTCGGCTCGCTTGCTAGCAGCTAGGTTGGAAAATATCATGGTTATTCCTGCTCCTCCTGAGCCCTCCTCTGTTGCAAGGGTTGACTCGAAGGGCAGGAGTGGTGCCGGGGGATGGAATGCGGTGCCAGCTGCTAGAGCAGCTGCTGCGGCGGCGGCAGCAGGAGATGTGGTAGCAGCCGCAGCAGCAGCCAGTGCGGGGGTTGCAGAGGGAGGAGGAGCAGTGGGAGGGGAGAGGGGACCTGGGTCGTTTTTGTGAGAGTGATGCTTGGATCCCCATTTGAATGCATGAGCAAGCATGCCTCCCACTCCCTGCCGCTTCTTCTTTCCACCTGCCTCCTCTGCTCCAAACGCACCCCCACCAGCAGCAGCACCCCCACCAGCAGCAGCACCACCATCAGCAGCAGCAGCACCGGCAGCAGCAGCAGCAGCACCAGAAGCTGCATCAGCATCAGCACCAATATCATATCTGTGTGCAGCGTCCCCGTCTATACTCGACCGTGTCGAGCTAGCCGTCAGCGACGCCCGTTCAAGCGCCTCCTCCAACGACTCACACGGCAGGCCGAATGTGGTAACCATCCCGTAACCGTACTCGCCAACGCTCGACGCGTTACTGTTACCAACACTACTGCCCCACGTGCTGGTGGAAACAGCAGAGGAGCCGTAGGGGCGAATAACAGAGCTGGAAGCGTTGGTGGTGGTGGTGGCGAGGGAGGCGTTGGAGGGGGGAATGGTGGTGCAGCTTTCAGTGGAAGAAGGGATGACTGTGCTGCTTCCCTTGGGGTCGATGCCTTTACTCGGGGTGAAGCTTGCTGGGGGAATGTGATGATGAGCCCAGGTCCCAGCAGGGGCGAGGAGCCCAGGCGCAGGCAGCTTCTGAGGCGCCTCAGTAGTGCCTTTAGGCGGGGTGAAGCTTTCTGGGGGGATTTGATGCTGCACCCAGGTCCCGGCAGGAGGGGGGTTGAGAGGGCGGGGGATGGCAGGGTGGGGGACGGCAGGGTGAGGAATGGCAGCAGCAGCACTAGCAGCACGAGTAGCAACATCAGCCCCAGCAGCAGCACCACCAGCACCACCACCAGCACCAGCCCCTGCAGCGCCAGCGGCAGCAGTCCGCGCAATAGCATCTTCCAAGCTCTCATCCGCCTTCCCCATCCCCACCACTGCCGCCCCCATGCCTGCATCAACCCCTCCCGCTGCTGCCCCCATGCTCGCGGATCCCATATTAGAAGCCCGCGCAATGGCATCATCTAAGCTCTCATCCGCCTTCCCCATCCCCCTTAACTCCTCGCGCATACCCCCCACTGCCGAATAGCCCGCGGATCCCACATTAGAAGCCCGCGCAATGGCATCATCTAAGCTCTCATCCGCCTTCCCCATCCCCGCCAGTTCCTCTCGCATCCTTCTCATTGCTGCCCCCATGCCCGCACCACCCTCCCCTCCTCCCCCCTGCGCCCTTCTGGCGGACTGATAAGCCCCAGGCGCGGATGCATGGGAGTAACCCGCAGGTGCATGGGAGTGACCCGCAGACTCACACGACGCAAGGGAATTGCCACGAGCAGAAGAGGCATAGGGCATACCTCCAGACGCATAGGGGTTGCCCGCTCGGGCAGAAGCAGCATCAGCAACACCAGCAGCGCGGGCAATGGCGTCTTCTAAGCTCTCTCCCCCCTTCCTCCCATCAGCAGATGCGTGGGGGCGACTTGCGGAAGCAGCATCAGCCATACCAATAGCGCACGCAATGGCGTCGTCTAAGCTCTCTCCCGCCTTCCCCATGTTCGCCCGCTGCTCCCGCATCTCCCTCGCTGCCGTATCCAATGATACCTCCCTCCTCCCAGCCCAACCCGCAGAACCAGCAGAACCAGCAGAACCACCAGCAGGAGCAGCAGCAGGGGCAGCAGAACTAGCAGGAGCAGCAGAACTAGCAGGAGCAGCAGAAGCAGCAGGAGCAGCGGAAGCAGCAGGAGCAGCGGAAGCAGCACCAGCCATACCGATTGCGCAGGCAATGGCGTCGTCTAAGCTCTCTCCTGCCTTGCCCATGTTCGCCCGCTGCTCCCGCATTTCCTGCACTGCCGTATCCAAAGAGATCTCCCTCCTCCCAGCCCAACCCGCAGAACCAGCAGAGCCACCAGCAGAACCACCAGCAGAACCAGCAGGAGCAGCGGACGCAGGAGCAGCGGACGCAGGAGCAGCAGCCACAGCAGGCGCAGGAGCAGCAGCAGCGCGGGGATCCCCACCTGCGCTTCTCGCCCCCTCAGCACAGGCAGTGGAGGCAGCAGCAGCAGCAGCGCGAGCAATGGCCTCATCCAGGGACTCAGTGGGGCGGCTGAGGTTGGAGAACTGGCGAGTCACGCCCGTACAGGAACCCCCCTGCGACCCTGCATACCCCCCTTCAGGCGCGCCCATAGAGTTCATTGTACCTCCTAAGCTTAGAAGGCCAGAGTCCATGAACGAGTTGCCATCGTAGCGATAGTCGTCCGGGAAGTCGGGGTCTGGATCGAGATCGGCTGGTGCTGGGGCTGCGGCAGCATCAGGCACCCCAGAAGCAGGCAGAGCAGAAGCAGCAGGCGCAGCAGGCGCGCGGGCACCCCCACCTGCGCCTCTTCCCCCCCCACACCCAGCTCCAGAAGCGTTCTCGGCACAGGTGGTGGCAGCAGCAGCAGCAGCGCGGGCAATGGCCTCATCCAGAGATTCTGTGGGGTGGCTGAGATTAGAAAATTGCCGCGTCACGCCCGTACAAACACCCCCCTGCGACCCCGGATACCCTCCCCTAGACGCGCCCATAGAGCTCATAGTACCTCCTAAGCTTAGAAGGCCAGAGTCCATGAATGAGTTGCCATCGTAGCGGCAGTCGTCTGGGAACTGTGGGTCTGGGTCGAGATCGGCTGAGGCTGGGTTGAGCTGCGCGTATGGTGCGAGGGGTTCTGGGTTCGCGGGTTGCTGGGAGGGGTAGGGAGTGGCGGCAGCAGACTTGGCAGCGGCGCTACCAGCACCACCAGAAGCAGCAGCGGCAGCAGCAGCAGCGCGGAGAATGGCGTCGTCCAGGCTTTCGTCCGCATGACCTAAGCCAGCCAGCTCCTCTTCCATCCGCCTCACGGCTGCATCCATACGCGGGTCACCCCTACTGCCCCCACCCACACTGCCCCCAACCCCACTTCCCCCACCCCCACTGCCCCCACCCCCACTGCCCCCACCCCCACTGTCCCCAGCCCCGCAGTCCCCGGCAGCAGCAGCAGCGCGGGCAATGGCGTCGTCAAGGCTCTCATCCGCATGACCTAAGCCAGCTAGCTCCTCTTCCATCCGCCTCACGGCTGCATCCATGCGCGGGTCACCCCTACTGCCCCCAGCCCCACGCGAACCCTCAGAAGCGTGAGAGCGAGCACCAGCAGGGCCTTCAGGCGCACCAGCAGCACCATTACCGGCAGCCGCAGCAGCGCGGGCAATGGCGTCGTCCAGGCTTTCGTCCGCATGACCCAATCCAGCCAGCTCCTCTTCCATCCGCCTCACGGCTGCATCCATTCGCGGGTCGCTGCTCCCGCCCCCACTGCTCCCACCCCCACTGCCTCCACTCCCGCGCGAACCCTCAGACGCGTGGGAGCGAGCACCACCAGCATTGTCAGCACTGCCAGCAGCAGCAGCAGCGCGGGCAATGGCGTCGTCCAGGCTCTCCTCCGCCCGACCTAAGCCAGCCAGCTCCTCAGACATCCGCCTCACGGCTGCTTCCATGCGCGGGTCACTGCTCCCACCGCTACTTCCCCCAACCCCACGGGAACCCTCAGAAGCGTGAGAGTGAGCCCCGGAAGCAACACCAGCACTATCAGCAGTGCCAGCAGCAGCAGCAGCGCGGGCAATGGCGTCTTCCAGGCTCTCATCCGCCCGACCTAAGCCAGCCAGCTCCTCTTCCATCCGCCTCACGGCTGCATCCATGTGCGGGTCACTGCTCCCACCGCTACTTACCCCAACCCCACTCCCCTCAGCCCCACGCGGACCCCCAGAAGCGTGAGAGCAAGGCCCAGAAGCGTGAGAGCAAGGCCCAGAAGCGTGAGAGCAAGGCCCAGAAGCGTGAGAGCAAGGCCCAGAAACAGTCGCGCCAGCAGCACCAGCAGCCCGCGCAATGGCATCGTCCAAGCTCTCCTCCGCCTTCCCCATTCCCGCCAGCTCCTCGCGCATTCTTCTCACTGCTGCATCCATGAAATCGTCAGACTTGCCAGGGCCGCGAGAAGCTCCACTCGCGTGCGAGTTATCCGCCGGCGCGCGGGAATTCCCCGCGGATGGCGCGCAGGCGTCGCGCGCGGATGGCGCACAGGAATTACCCGCGGACCCCGCGTTAGCAGCCCGCGCGATGGCGTCCTCCAGGCTCTCTTCCGCCTTCCCCATCGACGCGAGCTCGTCTCTCATACGCTGAATCGCAGCGTCCATAAACGCGTCATTCCTGCCTCCGCGAGAAGCTACCGTCTCGTCTGGTACGGAGCTGAGGCTCGTCTCCGAAGCTGCCTCCGTGGCTCGGGCGAGGGCGTCTTCCAGAGACATGGACGGCGTTGCCATGAGGGAAATTTCCGAGGAATACCCGCCGCTTAAAGATTCCATATCCATTATTGACTTTCCGTCGTATCGGTAATCCTCGGGAAACTCGGGGTCAGGATCAGGTTCCAGGTCGACTTGAGCAGAAGTTGACGGGGAGGCGCGGGAAAAGGAGGGAACCATGGCCGCGAAAGGCCTGGCGAGGCGAGACCTTAAAGAGGTTCGTTGCGTTGAGGAGGAGGTTTCAATGGGTGACGAGGCGTTTGGATGTTCTGCTGAGTTGGTCAAGGATTTGGTGCCAGACGATTTGCTGCCAGACGGGATGTTGCTTGGACTGCTGTTGCGCCAATTGCTGCTGTTAGGTTTGCTCGTGCTTTGTTTGCTGCTTCTCGGTTTGTTGCTGCTAGGATCGCCGGCACCAGTTCTTTTCTCAAATGCTGGCACTTCGATACGCGCTAACGCGTCTTCTAGCGAGTCCGTTGGCCTTCCGTAGCGGCCTTGTAGTTCCGCCGCCACGCCTTCGCGAGTATGGCCGGAAGAGGACATTGGAGGCCTAGAGTTAATCGCTACACTGCGATTACTTCAAGAATTCACAGAGGAGGATATCGAAACCCTAGTTTCTACCACTTGCTTGATGAATTCTCGTGAGTGACGATTCCTTTCGGTAAAGAGAAATGGCTCCACCACTTTTTCTAAAATAAACAAATAGATGGGCCGTACTGCCGCGAAACAATCGAGGATGCTATGCTATAGCTCGACAAGAAAGTGCGGAACGCTCGCTTTCTGGCTATCGCAGCGAAGGAGCAACGCAGCTGACGCAACTCAGACAAGCTAGGCATATCAGGCAGAAATGTACTTCACGTTTGACTGAAGTGACCATGCGTGACATTACCTCTTGCGCGAAGAACTCTGTTGGGGTTGCGGTGGCTGGTGCAAGCAAGGCGAAAAGACGAGCCTGATTAGTCCAGGACAATTCCAATGGTTCTTGGGGCCACCTGATTCCAGAAACCACTTTGATGACGAATCAACGGCGACAATCCCAATGGCGAGGGGGAAAGGTTCTTTGCGGGGAGGAAGATTTGGATGAGGCAGGATGAGGGGGAACGACGGCGCAGGGAACTAGGAGGAAGGGGGAAATAGTGGTGGAGCAGGGAGGGGAGGAGGGGGGGGAGGGGAAAATACCGCTGTTCCAGCTGTACACGGTGCGGTGAGGTGATGCGCGGGAACAGCGGGAATGTTCCTCACGGTGGGTCTGCTGACCAGTGAACAATTGGTGAGGCTGGTTTGACAGCGCATCAATCTCAAGGGCCCTCTCAAATCAAAGTTAGCCAGTAAGGGGAACTTGGTTTTGCGTTCCTTCCAATTCCGACAAGAAGAAAAATCAGTCGCCGCGACAGCCGAGCGGGGTCTGAACGGTGCGCTGGGCTGGGAGTGGTTCAACTTGGCTTGGAACGGGACGGGACGGGGGAAAAGATCATACTGGGGCCGAACAGTGCCAGAGGGGTGATCAACCAGGGGCCGAGAGGCTCGGAACTAACCAGACCGCTGCGCGAGGAGGGATTAACAAGAGAGTCATCGTTGATTTGCACGTATTTATGTTGCTAGTTCCTTGTGCCGACTCGCATTTTCGCTCGCGTGTCATTTAGCGAGCCGACACTACCGAGAATTCTAAGGGCAGCCAAAAACTAAAACCCCTAGTGAACCTGGATGCATTTTAGGGATGGATCAACCATAAAAACGGGAACCTTCCTTGCGTTTAGGGTTGATGCCTCCCGAGTCGCATACGTTTCCGAATGGGTTATATTATTTTTTTCCCAGCTCGTTTCCGATCAGGTGGGCGATATGATCACCTAGAATATAATAAGTTGTTCTGTTCTCACAATTTAACACGCCGAATCTTACTTTCAAAAGAATGCGACGCGCTTGTCGTAGTTGATGGCGGTCAGCACCTTCGACAAAGACAAATGAACAAGACATTTGGTTCTTAAAGTGATTCTCTTTTACTTACGGCTCGGCTTGTTCGCCAAGTCGTTTGGGCAGCTCCGGGTTGAATCCTACGGTCGAGATTACCCGGCCCTACTTTGGTCATCCCTCTGGCACTGTTCGGCCCCTATTTGATCGTTTCCCACGGGACGGGACTGAAACCCAGGTCCGCACAATCTCATCAAGCACGTTCCACCAGTCAGGAGAAATAGAGAAAGTGATCGCACGTCGCAAGGCGGTTGTTGCTGCCTCTTCTTGATACAGTTGGACTGTCGCCTGACCAATGTGCGTGGGCATGCGATGCCATGACGTCCAAGTAGAAATCGGACAAACCGTTCCGATCGTTCGCGAATTGCCTGCGGCCAGCTAGAGATGATGAACGTCGGTGAACGCCGTTCACGTCCCTACAACACGGGAAGTCAATGGAGTCTGGCCTGCGAGTGCCAAGTGTGCTTTGCCTGTACCCCTTACAAAAGCGTCACGCTTGAACGCAATTAAGCCTTGAGGTTTTAAATTCAAGGAATGGCTAAACAATTACTCTGTAATTTCCTGAGCTGCCGCAGAAAACAATTCCTTCATGGCCTTATCGGGCATACATAATAATATCAAAGTAATACTAACACATTACCGAATGCAGAATATAGCAATTTATTTGAGTCACGCATGAAAACTTGTGCTCTCCAATCAGGTTTTTGAAATAGATGAAATGTCAGCATGGTAATTGACTCTAAAACTAGGGTAGTTTGAGGTATGGCTCTGATTGTGCTTTCCAAGTGGGGTGTCTAGCCCCATGGCTGCACGATACTCCACCTGCAAACAGCAAATGCAATCCAAACACGCCCACCCATATACAACGCACGAATCCAGTTGCGTTAATATAAATGACAAGCACGAAAAAAAAAAACAAAAAAAACAAAACAAAACAAAAACTGCAAATTTTCAATCACGGTGCAAGAAATTGCGGATGTGACATGCTCATGGGGTAACGCCATATTAAGGGTGCATAATGCTTTAGCGACTTACCTCCATAAAGGACGAATCAACAATGTTGGACTCAGAACTACATGGAAGCCTATAATGACCTCAAATCCTATAATTACCTCAATGGGTTTTCCTTCCACATCCGTGATTCGTGGGTCCATGTATTGAGGCTGCTGCTTCATAAGAGTTTGACGAAGCGAAGCCAGATCAACTGTTGTCGGGACTCCATCTGGATAAGTGAGGACGTTTATAACGAGGATGAACGTTCGAGCGAAGCTGAGGTGTTGCATAAAGCATTGCAACCTCAGAGAAACATGACACCTCAAGATGCATGCGAGGGAATCTTGAGAAATTCCAGCGAGCAGCAGCGTAGGAGAAAGTTTGGGTTCTGTAAATCTGGAACTCTTCACTAAGCGAGTCTTGAGACATTTCCACCTCAGAGAAACATGACACCTCAAGATGCATGCGAGGGAAAAGCAAGAGCACCTGATAGCAAAAGCCGCCCGTTGACCCACACTGAATGCACCGTGTTGCCTCCAATGCCAGAACTGGACAACAAAAGTGGAGAGAGGGAGGTGGAGGAGGAGGAGTGTGGGGAGAGCGGAAGAGCGCGGGGGGGAGGGGGGGGGGGGGGTTCATTGAAAGAGAGACCCACACTGAATGCACCGTGTTGCCTGCAATGCCAGAACTGGGAAATAAAATCCACGAGAGGGTGTGAGGTGTGGGGAGAGGGGTTGGGTTGGGGGGGAAGAGAGAGAAAAAGAGTGATGGGGAAATGGGGAAGGAAAGAGGGACAGGTAGTAAATCATGGAAAAGGAGAGCCGGAGGAGAGGAGAGCAGTCAAATCAAGCAGCAGTCCAGTCTGCCTGCACAGCATCATCGCCTGCACAGCATCATCGTCGCATAGCCAGGCCACGTGAAAGAAGAGTGTTTTTGAGACATGTGTTTTTGAGACGTGTGTTTTTGAGATGTCTCAAAAACACTCTTCTTTCAAGCAGCAGTCCAATCTGCCTGCATAGCATCATCGTCGCATCATGGCCCGGCCAAATCTCCTGCTCCTGCTCGCATCTCCTCTCATGCCCACATTTGAGGAGCCTAAAAAAAAACTCCTGCTCCTACTCGCCTGTCCTCTCATGCCCACCCACACCACCTCACTCACCCGCCCATGCCCTCCCTCGTAGCATTCCCAATAGTCTTCTCACTATCCTTCCCCCCTCCCAGATTTGTCTGGTGAGCACGAGTTGCCCCACAGGGTCGGCTCAAGGCAGCATGGAGAGAGCAGTCAGATCAACCAACACAGCATCCGCCACGTAGCCGGGCTTTATCATCGCCCCTGCTCGCCCTGGCGCTCTACAAGCACCTCTGCAAGAGATGAGATGTTTTTTTAGTCGACTCAAAAATCGTCTCATCACACGTAGCCAGGCTTGATCGCCCCTGCTCGCCCTGGTGCTCTTGTACCACCTCTGCAAGAGATTTCCTCACTAGCATTCCCCATCAGCCCTCCTCCCCTCCCACCTTTGTCTGGTGAGCACCAGTTGCCCCACAGGGTCGGCTCAAGGCAGCAGGGAGAGAGCAGTGAGATCCACCAACACTGCATCCGTCACTGCTGTCTATGCTGCCTCTCCACCACAGCCTCATCCACCCAAGCCACCTCACTCACCCGCCCATGCCCTCTCACCTTTGTCTGGTGAGCACCAGTTGCCCCACAGGGTCGGCTCGAGGCAGCATGGAGAGGGCAGTCGGATCCACCAACACAGCGTCTGCCACGTAGCCAGCCTTGATCGCCCTTCCCAGTACCTGGCCCTACCCACCAACATCCCACCCACCTTTGCCGGGTGAGCACGAGTTGCCCCACGGGGTCGGCTCGAGGCAGCATGGAGAGGGCAGTCAGGTCCACCAGCACAGCATCCGCCACGTAGCCTCGCTTGATCGCCCCCGCCCGCCCTCTCATGCCCACTGCTGCCGCGCCTCCCTCTGCTGCCATTCTGAGCACCTCCCTTGGGGACAACCAGTGGCGATACTCGGGGGTTGTGAGCTGGGGTGAGGAAATATTCAGGGAGGGAGAGGAAGGGAGAAGAAAGGAGAGGAAATGAAGGCAGTGGATAGAAGGCGAAAACGTCTTGGTTTGATTGCCCCGGGTCTGCTTGCCCTCTCATGCCCACTGCTGTCGCACCTCCCTCTGCTGCCATTCTGAGCACTTCCCTTGGGGACAACCAGTGGCGATACTTGGGGGTTGTGAGCTGGGGTGAGGAAATATTCAAGGAAGTTGGGAGAAGGAGGCAATACTCGGGGGTTGCAAGGTCCATCGGATGGAAGGCGAGAAAGCCTTGGTTGGTTGAATATATGTACAAGCGTAAACACTGCACGAATAGATCACTGACAGGGTTGACAATACACGCCATCTTCACCGCTTCCAGCATGTCCTGAGAGTCATTTGAGCACTGCATGTCAGTATGAGTGCCAGTATGTGGTCTATGTGCCTGTCAGTATGTGTGCGCACCCTGTCACCACTCACAGGATTCACAATGCACGCCATCTTCACGGCTTCCAGCATGTCTTGAGAGTCGTTCGAGCACTGCCCATCGCACTCACCTATAGCCACAGCCGCTGCACACATCACGCCCATGTGCCAGCTACTCCTGGTAATGCATCAGTGTACTCACCGGGTTGATAATGCATGCCATCTTCACCGCTTCCAGCATGTCCTGCGAGTCGTTCGAGCACTGCCCATCCGTATGTATGTCGTCTATGCCTGTCAGTATGTGTGCACACAGAGATACCACTCTCGGGATTCACAATGCATGCCATCTTCACCGCTTCCAGCATGTCCTGAGAGTCGTTCGAGCACTGCCCGTCGCACCCGATAGCCAGGGTCACACCTGTCTATGTGCCTGTCAGTAGTATGTGCACACACAGTTACTAAGGCTACGTGCACAGTTACTCACAGGGTTGACGATACAAGCCATCTTCATGACTTCCAGCATGTCCTGAGAGTCGTTCGAGCACTGCCCATCGCACTCACCTATAGCCACAGCCATCACACCCATCTGCCCGCCTGCTCCTCCTACTCCTCCTGGCAATGCATTCTTGTACTCACGGGGTTGATGATACAAGCCATCTTCACCGTGTCAGAATATTATGCTCTAGCCTGTAGTGGGGTGCTCTATAGCGAGTACAACCCTTCTAGGGTTTGCTATTTGTATCCTCATTCTTGCTAGTGCAACCCCTCTTCTTCCTTTTAAACTTTCACATGCTATCAGAGCAGGTCGATCCCCTTGGATCGATCCTGTGGGTGGGCTCACCACCTCGTTGCTTCCGCTGCAACTTCCACTACTACCTTCTGTGCCGCACGCCCCGTGGCGTGCGGCAGTTTTTCTTCCCGCCGTGCGCCCCGAGGCGCGCGGCGGTTTTCTGCCCGCCGTGCGCCCCGTGGCGCGCGGCGGTTCTCTGCCCGCTGTGCGCCCCGAGGCGCGCGGCGGGCTTCTACCCCGTCACTCGCCGCGTCGCCCTCGGGAGGCGCTGCGACGGGCGACGGGGACCCGCGCGTCGCCCCCCGTCGCCCGTCGTGGCCTGCGCGCGGCCCGTACAGCCGGCGCGCGGCCCGTACGGGCTGCGCCAGGCCTGCGCGCGGCCCGTACGGGCTGCGCCAGACCCGCGCGCGGCCCGTACGGGCTGCGCCAGGCCCGCGCGCGGCCCGTACGGGCTGCGCCAGGCCCGCGCGCGGCCCGTACGGGCTGCGCCAGGCCCGCGCGCGGCTCGGGCCGCCTGCGCGCGGTTCGGGAGGCTGTGCCAGGCCCGTGGGCGGCCCTTTCCTCGCTGCCCCTGCCCTCCCCGCTGTCCCCCGTGCTTCTGCTGGCGCCCCACCCCTCCTACAGCCCGTTCTCCTGAATTAGGGTTTGGGGGTGAGGGGTATGGGGGTGAAACTACTGTGTGCCGTTCCCTGCTCCTCCTCCTCCTCCGTCTCCCTGTGCTGCAGCTGCCGCTGAGGGGGGGTGGACTTGTTGGAGCCGTTGGAGTGGTGCTAAGGGGGGGTGAAGGGGGAGTGGAGCTAGCGGTGTAGCAGCGGGTGTGTGTCAGGAGGGGTGGTACTGTTTGGGGGAGGTCAAGTGGAGGCAGCAGTCTTGTCGTCAGCAGCAGCAGCAGTCCGGAGGCTACAATCTCCGGTAGTCGCCAGTCGCCCGTGGGTCCGTTGCTCGTCTGCCGCTACTTTTAGCCGCGGGGCCAGTTACCCCAGTAGTCCGGAGCGTTGTTCCGGTAGCCACTGAGCCAGCAGCTCGTCTGTGTGTCTGCAGCGTCAGCAGTCGCCTCCCATCTTCTCTCCCCCACAGTCTCTCCTCCTCCTCACTTGCCCTCTGCGATAGCCTCTAGCTTTGCTCATAATTGTGAACTTTAAACTATTGCTTCTTGAACTTGTGCTCAGAATGTGTGGTGACATTGTGATCCACCCTGAGCTTGTACTGCTTTGCTTGCTCTGCTGATTACACCCCACTTTGGCTATGGGGGTGTGTCAGAATATTATGCTCTAGCCTGTAGTGGGGTGCTCTATAGCGAGTACAACCCTTCTAGGGTTTGCTATTTGTATCCTCATTCTTGCTAGTGCAACCCCTCTTCTTCCTTTTAAACTTTCACACACCGCTTCAAGCATGTCCTGAGAGTCGTTCGAGCACTGCCCATCGCACCCGATAGCCACAGTTATGCCCTTATCGAGGTACGCTCTTATGGGAGCAACGCCCGAGCCGAGGCGGAGGTTGGAGACTGGGTTATGAACGGCGACTGCCCCGCACTCAGCCATGATCGCTTGCTCCTCTTCTTCCTGCGAGTGGGTGGGAGGTGTGAGATGCAAGTGAAAGCAACAGCATGGGAGCAAGCAACGCCCGAGCCGAGGCGGAGGTTGGAGACTGGGTTATGAACCGCCACTGCCCCGCACTCCGCCATTATTGCTTGCTCCTCGTCCACCTCGGAAATGAGATATGTCGAAGGGACATGAAGGGGCGTGAAAGCAGTCATACGGGAAGGGAGCAATGTCAGAGCCAAGCCGGAGGTTTACGGAAATAAGAGATTGGAGTGTGGGTTATGAACTGCCACTGCCCCGCACTCTGCCAATTTGTTTTCCTCCTCGTCTTCCTGAGAGTGGGATACATGGAAGGACGGGATGTGAAAGCAGCCATAAAAGTAGGAGAGAGTGGGAAGTTGGAGAGTGGGTTATGCACCGCCACTGCCCCACACTCCGCCATAACTGCTTGTATCTCCTACCCCTGGGAATGGGATTTTGGAAGGAAGGCAAGCAAAGATAAGAACAAATGCACACTATCGGACTCACACGCACTATCTCACTCACCAGCCACACGCAGTGCACACAGGAGGTCCCTGGGAGGGACAGCCACCCGATAGGAGCAACGCGCACTATCGGACTCACACACACCATCTGTTTAACTCACCAGCCACACGCAGTGCGCACAGGAGGTCCCAGGGAGGGACAGCCACCCGATGTCTTTCAGTAGTTTCACACACCCTCGATCCGGGTAGCGCGATCGGCTCTGCAGCCTGAGTGGTGGGGGTTGGGAAGTGGGGAAACAGGGGCCAAGATAAACCGAGGAAGGATGGAAATGGAAGGTAGTGGATGTGGGATCATACAAGCCAAGTCACACTCTTGTTGAATGCCTTTTTTCCAGAAACCTCTAAAGAGGCTCTGTTTGTGCAGTGCAGGAAGGAAACAAGCTTACTGCTCACTCACTGCTTACTTTTGCATCCGTGATTCCAGCAAGTGAATATGGCCGCACAGGCCAAACTCCTTTCTGATCTCCACTGCTCTCTGAATCAACTCGTCCTGGGGAGAGGAGGCAAAGGGGGCGTGGTTCAGGGAGGGGAAATTGGGGAAGAGGAGGAAGATCAGACGAAATAAGATCCAATCGGGATACCAGCAAGTGGATATGACCGCACAGCACAGCCCAAACTCCTTTCTGATCTCAAATGCCCTGCGGATCAACTCGTCCTCCTGGGCAAAGGAGGTGAGTGAAATGCGGCAGAGGGAGGGGATGATGGGAAGTATGCAACAAGGTTTTACAAGTCAGTGCAAGTCAATGCAAGTCAACTCAAGTGAATTCAAGTCAACTCAAGTCAATGCAAGTCAACTCAAGTCAATGCAAGTCAGCTCAAGTCAACGCAAGTCAACTCACAGATGCACCCCAGTTCTGCACGGGACCAATCACAATGTTGATGCCGCCTTCAGGATCATGAAACTTCTGCGCAGCTTCCCTCCAGAGGGCGAGAACCCTCTCGGTGTTGGCCTCCTGTGGGGGGACAAGGGAGGAGGGGAGGATGGGAGGGAAGGGAGGAAGGGAGGAGGGGAAAAGAGCTTTTGAGACCCCTCAAAAGTCCCTCCAGAGGGCGAGAACCCTCTCGGTGTTGGCCTCCTGTGGGGGGACAAGGGAGGAGGGGAGGATGGGAGGGAAGGGAGGAAGGGAGGAGGGGAAAAGAGCTTTTGAGACCCCTCAAAAGTCCCTCCAGAGGGCGAGAACCCTCTCGGTGTTGGCCTCCTGTGGGGGGACAAGGGAGGAGAGGCGGTGGGACAAGCAGACAGGACAAGTTGAGTATTGCAAGAGAGGGGAGCGATGGAGAGGGGTTGCACTGCAGGGAGGGTGGATTTAAGGATGCAGAGAAAATGGAGAGTTTACGTAACTGTTGCCCTCCACCACCCCATCCTGGTTTGATTCGACTCCTTGAGTGCAATACAATACAAAACAAAATCACATCCAGCAAGAGATATTGCAGAGAGTTCACATCACACGAACCCTCCGGGAAGGCCGAAATTGCCCTGTTAGACCTCACCTGCCGCTCTGCCAGCTGCTCCAGCGTGTGTTTTTTTAGAATTCTCAAAATGTGTGTTTTTTTAGAATTCTCAAAAAACACACGCTCGAACATATCACCCTCCCACGGATGTTTTTGAGAATTCTCAAAAAACACACGGCCGAAATTGCCCTGTTAGACCTCACCTGCCGCTCTGCCAGCTGCTCCCTGAAAAAACCGACAGGCCCCATGGCATCAGGACACACGCCCTCCTGCCTCGCCTTCTCGTTGCGCTCACAGGCATCTGGCACCAAAGGGAAGTAGTTATGGTGGGGGGGGGGTTGGGGTAGAGTGAAGGGATCCCTTTTGAGAAACGAGTTTTGAGGCGCCTCAAAACTCACCTCAAAACTCACCTCAATGCTTGGGGTAGAGTGAAGGGATCCCTTTTGAGAAATTTCAAAAGGACAGAGGAGGTGAGTGTTGCAGGGTAGCAGCCCCACATTCGTGCAATGGAGGAGGAATTGACAAGGACAAGTTTACAGCCGTGTCGATTGGTTAAGAACGGACCGAGAGTAACAGAAGGAACAAAAAGTTGAAATAAAGGGAGATAGACTTACTGAGATGTCTAAATCGCCCATCATTCTGCACACAGGGCACATGGGGGACACAGGGAACGGGGGAGAGGATGCACACGGGGCACATGGGGGGGAAAAGGAATGAAAGCGGAGGGGAGGAGGTAAAGTTTGAGGCGCCTCAAAATTCGACTTACTGAGACGTCCAGATCGCCCAGCATACTGCACACAGGGCACGTGGGGGGCAGGGAATGGAGGCTTATGAGGGGTAGTTAATTGCAATGGAGACGAGGGGTGGGATGGGACGCACCCGGTGAGGTGTGTACAATGGGAAAAGGGGATGCAGAGGTTGTTCAAGAAAACACAAACAAAGACCACGGCAAGAGGGACGCACGCGGTGATGAAGGCACAAAGCGAGTTCGGGGAAACGCGGAGTGGAGTGGAGTGGAGTGGAGTGGAGTGGAGTGGAGTGGAGTGGAGTGGAGTGGAGTGGAGTGGAGTGGATTGGAGTGGAGTGGAGTGGAGTGGAGTGGAGTGGAGTGGCACGCACGGGGCAATGAAGGCTCGGATGCCAACATGCTTGTATGCCCGCACTGCTGCCTCGAGATCTGATAGGTCCCGGATGTACCTGGGGGGATGGGGTGGGAATGGGGGGGATGGGGGTGACATGAAGAGGAAACGGTGGGTACTGGGGAAATGGGGGCGAAATGAAGGGGAAATGAAAGCGAACTAGTGATGGATGCAGACATGCTTGTCTGCTCTTGCTGCTGCCTCCACGTCTCAAATGTGAATTCGCAGGGTGTGAATTCGCAGGGTGTGAAATCGCAGGGTGTGAATTCGCAGGGTGTGAATTCGCAGGGTGTGAATTCCCAGGGTGTGGATTCGCAGGGTGTGAATTCGCAGGGTGTGAATTCGCAGGGTGTGAATTCGCAGGGTGTGGATTCCCAGGGTGTGGATTCGCAGGGTGTGAATTCGCAGGGTGTGAATTCGCAGGGTGTGGACTCGCAGGGTGTGGATTCGCAGGGTGTGAATTCGCAGGGTGTGAAATCGCAGGGTGTGAATTCGCAGGGTGTGAATTCGCAGGGTGTGAATTCCCAGGGTGTGGATTCGAAGGGTGTGAATTCGCAGGGTGTGAATTCGCAGGGTGTGAATTCGCAGGGTGTGGATTCCCAGGGTGTGGATTCGCAGGGTGTGAATTCGCAGGGTGTGAATTCGCAGGGTGTGGACTCGCAGGGTGTGAATTCGCAGGGTGTGAATTCGCAGGGTGTGAATTCGCAGGGTGTGAATTCGCAGGGTGTGGATTCGCAGGGTGTGAATTCGCAGGGTGTGGATTCGCAGGGTGTGGACTCGCAGGGTGTGGACTCGCAGGGTGTGGACTCGCAGGGTGTGAATTCGCAGGGTGTTAATTCGCAGGGTGTGAATTCGCAAGGTGTGAATTCGCAGGGTGTGAATTCGCAGGGTGTGAATTCGCAGGGTGTGGATTCGCAGGGTGTGGACTCGCAGGGTGTGGACTCGCAGGGTGTGGACTCGCAGGGTGTGGACTCGCAGGGTGTGGACTCGCTGGGTGTGAATTCGCAGGGTGTGGGTTCGCAGGGTGTGAATTCGCAGGGTGTGGGTTCGCAGGGTGTGAATTCGCAGGGTGTGAATTCGCAGGGTGTGAATTCGCAGGGTGTGGATTCGCAGGGTGTGAATTCGCAGGGTGTGGATTCGCAGGGTGTGGATTCGCAGGGAATTCGCAGGGTGTGAATTCGCAGGGTGTGAATTCGCAGGGTGTGAATTCGCAGGGTGTGAATTCGCAGGGTGTGAATTCGCAGGGTGTGAATTCGCAGGGTGTGAATTCGCAGGGTGTGAATTCGCAGGGTGTGAATTCGCAGGGTGTGAATTCGCAGGGTGTGAATTCGCAGGGTGTGAATTCGCAGGGTGTGAATTCGCAGGGTGTGAATTCGCAGGGTGTGGATTCGCAGGGTGTGAATTCGCAGGGTGTGAATTCGCAGGCTGTGAATTCGCAGGGTGTGGATTCGGAGGGTGTGGATTCGCAGGGTGTGGATTCGCAGGGTGTGGACTCGCAGGGTGTGGACTCGCAGGGTGTGGACTCGCAGGGTGTGAATTCGCAGGGTGTGAATTCGCAGGGTGTGAATTCGCAGGGTGTGAATTCGCAGGGTGTGAATTCGCAGGGTGTGAATTCGCAGGGTGTGAATTCGCAGGGTGTGAATTCGCAGGGTGTGAATTCGCAGGGTGTGAATTCGCAGGGTGTGAATTCGCAGGGTGTGAATTCGCTGGGTGTGCATTCGCAGGGTGTGCATTCGCAGGGTGTGAATTCGCAGGGTGTGAATTCGCAGGGTGTGGATTCGCAGGGTGTGAATTCGCAGGGTGTGGATTCGCAGGGTGTGAATTCGCAGGGTGTGGATTCGCAGGGTGTGAATTCGCAGGGTGTGAATTCGCAGGGTGTGAATTCGCAGGGTGTGAATTCGCAGGGTGTGAATTCGCAGGGTGTGAATTCGCAGGGTGTGAATTCGCAGGGTGTGAATTCGCAGGGTGTGAATTCGCAGGGTGTGAATTCGCAGGGTGTGCATTCGCAGGGTGTGCATTCGCAGGGTGTGAATTCGCAGGGTGTGAATTCGCAGGGTGTGGATTCGCAGGGTGTGAATTCGCAGGGTGTGGATTCGCAGGGTGTGAATTCGCAGGGTGTGGACTCGCAGGGTGTGGACTCGCAGGGTGTGAATTCGCAGGGTGTGAATTCGCAGGGTGTGGATTCGCAGGGTGTGAATTCGCAGGGTGTGAATTCGCAGGGTGTGAATTCGCAGGGTGTGAATTCGCAGGGTGTGGATTCGCAGGGTGTGAATTCGCAGGGTGTGGATTCGCAGGGTGTGGATTCGCAGGGTGTGGATTCGCAGGGTGTGGATTCGCAGGGTGTGGATTCGCAGGGTGTGGATTCGCAGGGTGTGAATTCGCAGGGTGTGGATTCGTAGAGTGTGAATTCGCAGGGTGTGGATTCGCAGGGTGTGAATTCGCAGGGTGTGGATTCGCAGGGTGTGAATTCGCAGGGTGTGGATTCGCAGGGTGTGAATTCACAGGGTGTGAATTCGCAGGGTGTGAATTCGCAGGGTGTGAATTCGCAGGGTGTGAATTCGCAGGGTGTGAATTCGCAGGGTGTGAATTCGCAGGGTGTGGATTCGCAGGGTGTGGATTCGTAGGGTGTGTATTCGCAGGGTGTGGATTCGCAGGGTGTGAATTCGCAGGGTGTGAATTCGCAGGGTGTGAATTCGCAGGGTGTGAATACGCAGGTTGTGAATTCGCAGGTTGTGAATTCGCAGGGTGTGAATTCGCAGGGTGTGAATTCGCAGGGTGTGAATTCGCAGGGTGTGAATTCGCAGGGTGTGAATTCGCAGGGTGTGAATTCGCAGGGTGTGAATTCGCAGGGTGTGAATTCGCAGGGTGTGAATTCGCAGGCTGTGAATTCGCAGGCTGTGAATTCGCAGGGTGTGGATTCGCAGGGTGTGGATTCGCAGGGTGTGGATTCGCAGGGTGTGGACTCGCAGGGTGTGGACTCGCAGGGTGTGAATTCGCAGGGTGTGAATTCGCAGGGTGTGGACTCGCAGGGTTTGGACTCGCAGGGTGTGGACTCGCAGGGTGTGGATTCGCAGGGTGTGAATTCGCAGGGTGTGAATTCGCAGGGTGTGAATTCGCAGGTTGTGAATTCGCAGGGTGTGGACTCGCAGGGTGTGAATTCGCAGGGTGTGAATTCGCAGGGTGTGAATTCGCAGGGTGTGAATTCGCAGGGTGTGAATTCGCAGGGTGTGAATTCGCAGGGTGTGGATTCGCAGGGTGTGAATTCGCAGGGTGTGGATTCGCAGGGTGTGAATTCGCAGGGTGTGTATTCGCGGGGTGTGTATTCGCAGGGTGTGAATTCGCAAGGTGTGAATTCGCAGGGTGTGAATTCGCAGGGTGTGAATTCGCAGGGTGTGAATTCGCAGGGTGTGAATTCGCAGGGTGTGGATTCGCAGGGTGTGAATTCGCAGGGTGTGGATTCGCAGGGTGTGAATTCGCAGGGTGTGGATTCGCAGGGTTTGAATTCGCAGGGTGTGAATTCGCAGGGTGTGAATTCGCAGGGTGTGAATTCGCAGGGTGTGGATTCGCAGGGTGTGAATTCGCAGGGTGTGAATTCGTAGGGTGTGAATTCGCAGGGTGTGAATTCGCAGGGTGTGAATTCGCAGGGTGTGAATTCGCAGGGTGTGAATTCGCAGGGTGTGAATTCGCAGGGTGTGAATTCGCAGGCTGTGAATTCGCAGGGTGTGGATTCGCAGGGTGTGGATTCGCAGGGTGTGGATTCGCAGGGTGTGGACTCGCAGGGTGTGGACTCGCAGGGTGTGGACTCGCAGGGTGTGAATTCGCAGGGTGTGAATTCGCAGGGTGTGAATTCGCAGGGTGTGAATTCGCAGGTTGTGAATTCGCAGGTTGTGGATTCGCAGGGTGTGAATTCGCAGGGTGTGAATTCGCAGGGTGTGAATTCGCAGGGTGTGAATTCGCAGGGTGTGAATTCGCAGGGTGTGAATTCGCAGGGTGTGAATTCGCAGGGTGTGAATTCGCAGGGTGTGAATTCGCAGGCTGTGAATTCGCAGGGTGTGGATTCGCAGGGTGTGGATTCGCAGGGTGTGGATTCGTAGGGTGTGGACTCGCAGGGTGTGGACTCGCAGGGTGTGGACTCGCAGGGTGTGGACTCGCAGGGTGTGAATTCGCAGGGTGTGGATTCGCAGGGTGTGAATTCGCAGGGTGTGAATTCGCAGGGTGTGAATTCGCAGGGTGTGGATTCGCAGGGTGTGAATTCGCAGGGTGTGAATTCGCAGGGTGTGAATTCGCAGGGTGTGAATTCGCAGGGTGTGAATTCGCAGGGTGTGAATTCGCAGGGTGTGAATTCGCAGGGTGTGAATTCGCAGGGTGTGAATTCGCAGGGTGTGAATTCGCAGGCTGTGAATTCGCAGGGTGTGGATTCGAAGGGTGTGGATTCGCAGGGTGTGGATTCGCAGGGTGTGGACTCGCAGGGTGTGGACTCGCAGGGTGTGGACTCGCAGGGTGTGAACTCGCAGGGTGTGAATTCGCAGGGTGTGAATTCGCAGGGTGTGAATTCGCAGGTTGTGAATTCGCAGGGTGTGGACTCGCAGGGTGTGAATTCGCAGGGTGTGAATTCGCAGGGTGTGAATTCGCAGGGTGTGAATTCGCAGGG